GTATAAATAGTGGACATTTCTTAATCAGAGCTCATCTATTTCCTTCGAAATTGTGAAATGGAAATAAGGCTTCAATTTGAGAGCCCGACGTTTTTGGTATTTTTCAATTTTCAATTTTCTACAATTTTTTAAATTAAATTTAGTGGTTGAATGGCAAAAACCGGACGAGCGGCTCGATGGGCTCGAACGGCTAACCGCCTCGGCCGCTCGCCAACCGCTACATAAAACCGGAGCGTCTTTTAGACTGTTCCGAGCCGATTTTGTGACCGGGTGGCGGTTTTACCGGTCGGGCCGAGCGGCTCGGCTCGGCTTTAATAACACTGTAGATAACCCTTATTCAACGAAAAAAAAATTAGATATCCCTTTTCATAAATCTCATAAAAATTATCATAAATTCCTCAAAAAAAAAATTTTAACTCTTAAAACCACAAATTATGAATTTTAATAACTCAAAACATAAACCAAAACTATTAACTATAAATTAAATCTTAATTAGCCCGTTTTTCTTATTCAATTTAACATAACTAATTTTTAAACCTATGCTACACATGTCTAAAATTTTGGTTCTCTATTTTCTTACATAAATGAAATATTATAGTCTTTTAAAATAGTAAGGTGGAGGGTTTAATTTGGGGTTCTATCTTGTCTTCCTTAGTGATGGGAGGGAGGAACGTGGAGATGACCTGATGATTATGTTAATCACAATAATAATAATAAGGTGTTGTTGTTGATGAGGGGAAATGGCGGATGATGGTCATTATGATGATGATGATGATAATAATAATAATAACAACAACAATAATAATAATAATAATAATAGTTATTATTATTATTATCTCCAATCTACGATTGAACCCTTCGTACGTAATCGGCAACCGAACGTTTGGTCGAACCTAGTCCCAAATTTCAGGGTGTTACAGTGTGGCTGGCTGTTTTGCAGGATAATGGTTAACCTAGACCATGCCTACCTCTAGAACCTCCAGTACACCAAGGCCTTCGATCAGTTACTGTTCCGTGTCGGTATCACGGCGGCCATCCCGCACCATCAGTGGAGCCGCCTGCTGGAGCTCTAGGATGACATCTACGAGGACTCACCCTAGAGTTCTACAACACTTTCACCCACACCAGGAAGAAGCTCGCCTACCATGCGGGTGCGGTTAGTTTCCAGCTTGGGGGTCACCACCACAGTCTGAGCTACCACGACTTCAGCACCGCCCTGTGCCTAGAGTCCACTCACATGCGCGAGGTGGAGCCGACCTTTCTGCAGGCTGACTATCAGGGGTTCTACGAGCGGATTTTTTTACACCAGCATGTTGTCGTCCCTTACGCGCACAACCAGACTAGAGCCGCCCAACTGCAGGCTTCGTGGCGTTTCCTTCAGTCGCTGCTAGCTCACTCCGTCATTCCCAGACAAGAGGCGTCCGGGAAGGTGACGAAGCTCCACATGTATGCTCTCATCTCCACGAGTGGTGCCGAGGATGGCCTCAACCTGGGGTCCATCCTGGCGATCTCTTTCTCCTAGGTGAGGAACCACTTGAAGGTCACCACACTACATGGAGCGGCCTTCATCACTCAGCTTGCACGGTACTTTGGGGTGCCCCTAGACGACTTCACCCTCGTGGGGCGTGCCAGAGCCTTCCCCGACGGCAAGACCGAGCCTCCCCGGCCTCCACCCGTCCAGGACCCGCTGCAGTTCTTTCCCGGTTATCCTGGTGCAGAGACCTCTTCAACTGCACCAGCTGGAGGCCACTGGGCCGCCATGGAGGATCATATCGATTGCATCGATGCGCGCCTAGATTGTAAGCGTGACGACATGAACTACTCCCACTACCTGCTGGAGCACTTGTGCTCGGAGGCTGATGTGGACTTTACCCGGACCTTCTGGCATCTGTCCCCGCCTCAAGACGACGATGACAAAAAGGATTGATACTCCATGTTTCATGTGTTATGTTTTTTTGTTTTTGTGATTTGAGTCGAACTGGATATTATTGTTTTTTTTATTGTGTCCCATGGGGCTGACACTAATGTTCCTAACTCTTACCCAATATGAGTGTTTGTGTTAACATTTGGTTGTTCTCAGAATCAGGTACATCTCCAGTATGCTCCAAATGACTGGTCACATTTCCAGTCCCACTGCAGTCTGTTTTCCCGGTAACATCGTTCCCCTTATCTTTCCCTCTTCTTAAACGAGGGCAATGTCGTGCTTAAGTATGGGGGGTGTTTATTTTTGACTGCATGATATGTTTGTGTGCTTGGAACAAGTCCACTGTCCAAATTTTATGATTTGAGGGCTCTAAGTACTGTTCCGTCGATAACCTGGTCAGTATTCTTTGAATTGACAGTCTTTATGGTTATGTGCAACCTAGGGAGCTAGTTGTAGCACTATGGAGGATGTTGAAGTATAAGATTTTTCATATCTGTCTCCTTGCTATGTTGGTTGATTTTGTGAACTAATGGATTTAAGACCCTTGATTCATGTGGTATGGATGACTCCCCCTATGCTATGTTATGGACTCGTGTATCATAGATGGTGCTCAATTGAATGAAAAAAGCAGTTGGTCCCCCATGTCAGAAAAATTTGAAACTTTAAACATGGGGTAAGCCCAACGTGTGTGGCACCATTCATTGCACAAAATCGGGTTTTGGAAGAGATTTTAGTGATCCTTAGTGGGGTAGGCCTACAAGGTGAAGCTAAGTTGTCTCTAGTCTAAGTAAAAATTCCACCCATTGAGCGGTTTGCCTACTCGAGGATGTGTTTTTAAGGGCACAGATATAGCTTCCGACCCCCCTTAATTTCATTGACCCTCCTCACGAGTCGAGGAAAAGGAGTTAAAAGAAGTACTCTGGCGAGTGACAGATGTACAGAAATTGCTCTTGCTCAATCAATAAATGTCGACCGCGCATAAAACTGCAGTTTGAAACCCCAGCAAAGTGTGAAGGAGAAAAACAAAAGTATGAAAAAGGGGGTTCCAACGAATGAAATGGGATAGAAGAGCACCTGATACGAAGAGTCTTTGGCTGTTAAATTCGTGAGTCTCTTTATCCATGAATTTACTGTCTTAGTTCCATTGCTTCTCATGATCATGGCTTGAGTCTAGTACTCACATTGAGAGAGATAGGGGACTTCTTAGAAGACTAGTTGACCTCGTAAGTTGATAATTGATATTGGAAATCATCTAGCGACGATCGGGGTTGCATGTTACTATAAAGGTCTGGAGAGCTGCATTGGTTTGAGTTAGGTTTGCTTAGGGACAAGCAAACGGTTAAGTGTGGAGGAATTTGATAACGCCATATTCGAAAATGTTTTTCCCGTCATTTCTCGACCGTTTGAGCTTGGTTTATCTCTCTCATGGCCTATTTTACGCTATGTTGTGTTCGTTTATGATGTTTCAGGACTTACTACGTGAATGGGCGCGAAGGAGCGAAGTTTCGGGACATTCTGGAGCGAGTGGGCAGTGAGAACCTGGGAGTTACGGTTTGGCCGTAACTTCCCTCGACGAGCCGTAACTGGCGAGTGATGGATGCAAAGTTCCAAAAGACTTTTTGAAGTTACAGGCAGATCTTCCAAGTTACGGTTATGGCCGTAACTCATCCTCTGTGCTCGTAACTCCTGATTAGCCGAAGACAAAAGTTCCAGAGACGTTTTTTGAGTTACAATCTCCCTCTTCAAGTTACAGTTGAGACCGTAACTCCCCAAAGGAAGCCGTAACTCTTGGTTTACAGAGTGCCACAACGACGCCGTTTCAGGGAAGTTACGGGCAGGCGAGCAAGGTTACGACCATAACTTAGGCCGTAACACACGGATTCTCAGTCTATTTAAAGTCTGCTCAGGAAATTTGCAAAGGATCCCGATTTTTGGACTTCCAAAGGAAGAAAAAGAACCCTATAGAGAGAGTGATAAAGAAAAAGTCAAGGGCAAGGATTGGAGCGATCTAAAGACCTCGGAGCTCGATTCTCCAACCTCGGAGTACCGATTAGCTGCCAAGAGCAATTGTCCATTGTCGTTCTGAAGATGTCTACTCCAAGCATGGCGTTCTCACATCTCTCCATGGAGTAATTTTCCATTTCATCTGGGTATGAAGAACCCTAGCTGTGTATGATAGGAATGATTGTATCAACCCCATGTTATGAATGATTGAATTGATAAATTCAGTTGAGGAATTATTCAGAATTACATGAGTCCTGATCAACATGTGTAGTTCCGGCTTTAACCTAGAACGATAGTCTGTGCATAGGTTAAAAGAGCAACCTTTAATTGAAAGTGGTGAATCGACTGCCTTAGTCTAGAGTCGATTCACTGCTCCGTACTGGAACAAAGGCCAGTAGTGGAAGTTTCGCGTGTTAAACCTTGGTTAGTGTATGTCGATGGAGGTTAGTCGCCTGCCGGGTATTCGAACTAAGAGGGTCTGGATAACTTTAGTCGAGAGTCCAGACCAGTAAAGAACTTTCTGTGTTTTATCTATCAATCTGAGTAATTTGGGACCATATAACCTGAACTAGATGCACGCACACTAGGGGGAACCATGCCTGGATGACCTTTTGAACCTGAAAAGAACCAGACCATTACTTGTTTTTTTTTGTTTCTTTTGCATTGAAATCACTACACTCTCTTAGTCCGACTGGATAATAGGAGTTCACTGAGTATGAAGTAGATCTAGAGTCTGGGTCGATAATTAGACTTAACCACTATTCTGCATTTCCACTCTGCGATTATACTTGGTCGCAGTTTGGTGTTGTGTCGTAGCGTGTTAATAGATGATCTGAGTTCACTTGAGAAATTGAGTTTAGCTACCATTATTGATGTTGAAGATGTTTTTGATGTTTCGTGTGTTACCGGTAATCTATATACTACAAATTAAATGTTTCTATAAGTTGTGTTTCCTCTGTTTTATATGTTGATTGTCTTTTATATTGTTGTAGAAGGGAACTAACGTTGGGCATATGGAAGAGAGACAAGATGTTCCCAGGGACTTAATGTTTTTGCTCTTCACAAAATATGTTTGCCGAAAACCAAGACTTATTGTATTTGCTGTCTTTGTTTGTGTGTGGATTGTTGAAGCTAGAACAAATATGATGTATTGTGTTTTTGTTTGTATGGATTGTAGAAGCAAGAACAACTATTATTGTTGAAGTTAGAACAGTTACAAGTATTGAGAATTTTTAATGAACTATATTTGCATATATGTGTATAAGTTCATATTTTAGAAATTGTACCATGGTTACCCGAATACTTGTGGTTACCCGGTGGGTAGGGTATGGTCATATCATTTCCATACTTGATTGATGGTTATTTGGTCGGGTATTTTAGAAGGCTCTGCCCGGTGGGTTAGGAGTTTGTACATGATAAACCCACACCCCATTCTACCCCATTGTCATCCCTACTATGAAGTCCTATCCTTTCGACAACATCTCGCTATCATATATATATATATATAATTAAAATTAAAATGTCAACTATATATATGAAATTTCCATGCAACTTTACAGGAAACTGGCCGAAAAGCTTAGCTAGGTAGGTAGGTATAGTAGGGGCAGAGCACCTCAGGTATTGAAGCGCACATAATTATTCTCTTGTGCTTGTACGTTTCCTTGTCCACCTATATTCATAATTATTCCTCCATTTCCACTCTCGGAACCTATAAGATATATAGGATTAACTATAATACTATAGAGTCAAAGCAATTGTATCACAGTGGCGTGCACAGGGGAGCATCGCATTGGGGAAACAAACTAGTAAACTCCCCCAATACGACAACTCATCTTGTCACAAATATTCTCGTGTATGTCTAATCTCTACGTACGTACACTCTATTGCCCTGCCAAACAAACAAACAAACATCTCGACATGCATAATAAGAAGGGGGAAAAAACAGCGTTAATTAATTGTAATTTGTGTTAGTTTAGTGTTCTTTCTTGCAACCCATCCAATACAAATCCCTAATTATGCATTCTTGGGACAAACACAAGTATGCGATTACATACTTGTGGTTCATAAAATGACAAAATTCAAACCTAAATAGAAACCATCTGATCAATGCATCAATCACTGTAAGACCCTTTCTGTTTCTAGAAAGAGATCAAAACAGAAACAGAGGACTTGCATCTCCGGCGACAGTTCAATTAGATTCACTGAACAAGCTAAGAGTTCATATAATTAATTATAAGCAGAGGTGAGGGGAGGAAACACAAATGAAATGATGGTCCTGAAGCAGAGGGAGTAGAGTCAGAGTGGGGCTGGCTGGTGGCAGAAAGAGAGGTCCTGAACAGAGCAGGGACTACTGACCTCTGTCTGTCACGTTTTTCACCACTTTCTGTTGCACTCTTCCTTCTTCGTTTCTGCGAAAATGAACATGGCCAACGCCAGCAAGCGTTGAAAGTAAGAGCATCTCTTACAGTTACAGAAGCAGCACGACCCAATGGAAATCTTGGCCCCAACAGTGAAGAGTGCCAAGTACTAAGCCCCAATTTGAACCTAGAAGAAAGAAAGCAGCTTCGAAAATGTTATAACACTTTAAAAAAGAAAGAGAGAGAGAGAACATAAGACACCATCCCTTTTCTTTTTCCCCACCTTTTCCTCTCATAAATGATAAACCCCAAAACAAAACACAAAAGTTGTTTTCTTTCGCCTTTTCCTTTTATTGGGTCTATAAAAATTCCTCCATCACTTGCTTCCATTGATTCTTTCCTTCCTTCCATACCATAACACCATACTTATTCTCCTCCCATCACAACCCACTAATCCCTTTTCCCACCACTCTCTCTCTCTCTATTGCAGAAGTTCATCCATGGCGATCTGCACCTTCTTCCATCTACTCCTTGTAGTCCTCCCAATCATTGTACCACCGGCAACAGCAAACGTGGAAGGTTAGCTCCTCCTCCTCCTTCATCTTACTCACCCGATTTTCACTCTCTCTTCTCCCCATTTCCCCCTTTTTTCCCATCTCGTGTCATAAGCTTTGGTTAAATTAAAATCACTTCGTACTAAAACAGGGGATGCTCTGTTCGCTCTGAGAAGAGCGGTGAAGGACCCAGGCCTCGTCCTCCAGAGCTGGGATCCAACCCTGGTCGATCCTTGTACTTGGTTCCACGTCACCTGCGACTCCGACAACCGAATCACCCGCCTGTAAGTCTTCTTCTTCTTCTTCTTCTTCTTCACAGAGAGCTCTGTTTTAGTTCCAGAGGAACAATTGATTAATTTTTTTAATATTATGACTAGTTCATTAAATTAACATAGTCCAAAAATGAAAACTTTTGGGGTCGGCAGGGACCTTGGGAATGCGAAGCTGTCAGGAAGGCTAGTTCCAGAACTGGGGAAGTTGGAGAGACTTCAATACCTGTAAGTAGTTTCCTTCGTCCTTCCCTTCTCTGTCTTTTCACTTTTCCACTTCCTCTGTAATCAATTGCATTGGCGAAGAAGTCAGGGAGGGAGATTTAATATAAAGATGATGGTGTACTAGTACTACTGTATGACATTGACAAGACCTTAATTGTACTTTGTGTGTAATTAATAGGGAGCTGTACATGAATGAGCTGGCGGGACCCATACCAAAGGAGCTTGGAAACCTCAAGAGCTTATTGAGCTTGGATCTCTACCACAATAATTTAACTGGATCCATCCCTTCCTCCCTCTCTAAGCTCTCCAATCTCAAGTTCCTGTAAAGCTCTCTCTCTCCCTCTCTCTCTGTCTCTCGCTCAAAATCTCTTTTATGTGTTCCTTTCTGAATTTAAGTTGATGTTTGTGCAGAAGGCTGAATGGGAACAGATTGAGTGGAAGGATTCCCAGGGAACTTACCAAGCTTGGAAGCCTTAAGATACTGTAAGCATGAAAGTTCGACATTAGTAGAAGAAATTTTCAGTTTTCACCTATTTCTTACTGTGGGTTGGTTCACTGCAGTGATGTGTCGAACAATGACTTGTGTGGGACAATCCCAACTGCAGGATCCTTCTCCAAGTTCACTGAGGAAAGGTTCAGTAATTTACCAATGCTTTTTTTACATTTACAGCAGCTTTCTTTACCTATTTTTTACCCAAATGCCTAGTTCTTTACCTTTCAACTTTGGATTTTGGGCAGTTATATGAACAACTCGAGGCTAGAAGGACCGGAGCTGATGGGGTTTGTGAGATATGATGCTGGAGGGAGCTGTTAATGAGGAGGGACCGATCATGAAAGGGACTGCAAAGTTTCTTGCTTTGGTAGTTCTTGGAGTTGTAGTTTTTTATAAGATTGATGCGTCTTCTATAGGAGGTGATGTTGGTGAAAAGCTTGGAATTTAGGGTTGTGGTTATTAGCTAATATTATGGTGTTGATTCAAGAAAAAAAAATATTATGTAATATGAGCATATAAAGGAAGCCAATTTTGCTTAACGTTATCAAATCAGTTAAGTTGTTGAGTCGGTCTAGCAAGTGCTTCGATGTTTAATGGTTTAATGGGGCCCAATCCGTTTGAGTCATTTTATACATTTTCTAAGATTGATGCGTCTTTTATAGGAGGTGATGTTGGTGAAAAGCTTGGAATTTAGGGTTGTGGTTATTAGCTAATATTATGGTGTTGATTCAAGGAAAAAAATATTATGTAATATGAGCATATAAAGGAAGCCAATTTTGCTTAACGATACCAAATCAAGTTAAGTTGTTGAGCCGGTCTAGCAAGTGATTTGATGTTTAATGGTTTGATGGGGTCCAATCTGTTTGAGTCATTTTATACATTTTCTAAATATATATACAAATAAGCATGGATATTTCGGTGCACTCACAAAAATGAATGCATACGATGCACCCAATTCTAAAAGTAGGCTTAAGATATAACATTGGATCTTAACTAATCAATGCATTACCCTGAACCCTGAACCCTGAACTTTAACCCTAAGCCCCAAATTGTAAACCCTAAATCCGAAACTCTAAATTCTTTAGATAAAAAACTTTTGAATGATTTTTGTGAGAATTCATGTAGTTCCTTGTCCATCATATAACAAGTGACGGTTGACATTGTTTTTATGTGAATTGCCTACTCAAAATGACGATTACGAGGCAAATACATTGTGTGCACCCAAAAAAGCGAGTGCACCAAAGACAAAACCTATAAAATGTGGCCCGACCATCGATTTTCCCAATTTTGACCGGCTACCAGCTAATACTCAAACTGACTTGCTAGAGGCAGGTTTTTCAGACATGGTTATTGGATTAATTGTTGGTATTTTTAATGGTGTGAATGGAAATGGAAGGGGAAAGATCCAAGTGAATCTCTTGAAGTACTATGTTGGTAAGTTGTGGGAAGGCATGGCCGCGAAATCAGTCGATTTGATGTAAAATGTTGGTAATCGCTAATATTGGTTTGTTTAACCAACCTGTTTACACCTAAAAAATAATCTTGTACCGCATTGATTATTTACAAGGCATTTATTATCTTTATAAGGCCAGATTATTTATGAAAATTAATGTTATTTGAACTGGGCCTCATGATAATAATTTTAAGCCCCAAACTAAGTCTCCAAGAAGGAGCTAGTCTCGTCGCGAGTTGAAGAGCCCGACGTGATCATGAGATATGGACCACGTTGGCTTCAAATTTAGAGCTCGACGTGGTCATGAGATCTAGACCACGTTGGCTTCAAATTTAGAGTTCGACGTGGTCATGAGATCTAGACCACGTTGGCATCAAATCTAGAGCCCGACGTGGTCATGAGCTCTAGACCACGTTGGCTTCAAATTTAGAGCTCGACGTGGTCATGAGATCTAGACCATGTTGGCTTCAAATCTAGAGCTCGACGTGGTCATGAGATCTAGACCACGTTGGCTTCAAACTTAGAGCTCGACGTGGTCATGAGATCTAGACCACGTTGGCTTCAAACTTAGAAATCGACGTGGTCGCGAGATCTATACCACGTCGTGAGGCCATGTCCAAGATCTGAGCTAACAAGTTGGAAGTAAGAAGGCAAGTCATGTGGGAGAGGCAAGTAACAAGACTACAGTTCCAGGATGAAGAGCAGACGGTTAACGGAGAAACTGCTGATTATCCCACGTACAATGACACGCCAGCGACGTCCGAGAAAGAAGGGAAGCAGTTCTTTTTGGAAGTTACTCTAAGACAGTTTTCTACGACGGTTATCATCTCAAGCCTATAAATAGGAGGAGGAGTTGACAGAGAGGAGGAGGCCAAATTCACACCAGATAACACAATGTCAAATTTTATCCCTTTATCCTTTCCTCTGCAATTTTAGTCGTAGTAGTAGATCTGGAGCTCTCACTGAACCTCCATAGGAGTAACTTAATGTAGATCTGTCTCGAGAGTCGTGTAAACATCGATCACCCTCGTTCGAACTGTGTTTGAAGAGGTGTGAACTGTGTTAAGTAAATCGTTGTCCAAAGAAGTCGAGGTGCAATCAATATCAATTCAACACAAGTTTTCTCGCCGGAGAACACAACCAGACCAAACCGAGTTGAACCAAATCAAACTGAACTGATGTGGCGGTTGGAATAACCAAACCGGTCCAACTGGTTCCGAGGCGGAGGAACCAAGAAGGTGAAGTTCCGACTGGATTCGTGGAGGAGCAGGTGGCTAACATCGAGCATGGCCAAGCGGCCGTCGCGGTGACCGGAGGAAACGGTGGAGCAGAGATCTTGGTGGCAACCGCGCCTGGTGGAGATCTCGGCGAAGCAGTGGGGGCCCTTCGTCAGATGATGGAGGAGAATCGCAAGATGCTTGCAGAGAACCGTCAAGCCTTGAAGGAGAACCGCAAAATGGTGGTAGAAACCCATCTAGCCTTGGAGGAGAACCGCCAAGTGATGGAGGAGAACCGACGATGCATGGAGAAGGCCTTGGCAGGTACCAATAAGATAATATCTCAACTTGATTGTTTTTATTCAAGTTTTGATAGGCGTGTGGCTAAGATTTTGGAGATAAGTAAAAATGATGTAAGAGATTTTGGGCAAATTTTAATAAAACCAGTGTCGCAATCAATGGTTTTGCCGCAAAATGGTTTAGAACCAACACCAAATAATAAAATTGTGTGCAAAAATCTTTCTCCCTCCTGTGGCCGGTATACCCAGCCACGAACAGAGAACTTGTTATCTCTAGTGACAACTCAACCGTCCCCTCTACGTGAGGGTTGTGGTGAGAGGTCCACCTCCACTTTGAACAACAGTGATGGGGTCTTGCATGTACAAGGTGATGTTCCACCACTCGTTCTCGAGACAAGATCAGATGAGACACTTGTCAATGGACGAGATGGTGAAGATTTGTTAAACGTGGAACAAGTACCACCACATGCTTGCCCACCCCCAAAGCCACCCCTATTAAGTGGACAAATAGGCGATTCTGATGGACTCAAAACACCTAGAGCTCAGCAAGGGGGGCATGAAAGTCTAATTTCCCACAAGTTGATGCTGAGATGTCCATCTGGGGGGCATGTGGTGTCTAAGAGCTCACATCAATCACAAGCAACACATGCTTGTGCTAAACCTATTAATTTGGCTAAGGTTGGAAAGGGGGGCATGCCTCCAACCACTTGTAGTGGACATGGGGGCATATCTAACAAGTCACGACGTGAGAAAGCCATAAAAAGTTATTGTAGATTTGAAAATTTGGCTAAGTATGGACAAGACATGTCCAAGAAGCCATATGAAGTGCAAGTCACACATGTTTGCGATAAGCATGCTAATTTGACTAAGTTTGGACAAGGGAGCATGTCACCCACCATGAAGAATGGAGTAGAGGGCATCTTCAAGAAGACACAACAAGTCAAACCCCAACATGGATTTTGTAAGCGTGAGATTATGGACAAGGGTGGATTGGGGGGCAAGTCCATGTCAATGGATAGTAAGTACTCGACACCAACTACAAAGAGTGGACATGGGGGCATGTATAAGAAGTCACCATACACACCAGCCAAACATTGTTGCACAAAGAATCAATGGTGGTTGAGTGCTAAGTGTAGGGGCCAACAAGGTTTATTTGTTGAAAGACGAAGACAAGGAAGCTACACGAGTGGTTGTCGACTTGTCAAGCCTAGACCTGGTCCCCAACATCATGATGAGATTATGCATGTATCAAGTGGGAGGAAATCAAGGCAGAAGAATAATCATGATAGCCTTGACATGTCAAGTAAGGTGGCCCAAGCAAAGAAGCATGAGACCTCATGTAAGGCCACCAAGACTAAACAGGCTGACCATGTATTATCACCCATTGGCAAGCTAGAAAATTCAAAGTTAATATATGAAGATTCATCGCTCATGGAGGAAAAGAGTCATGTGGTCTATGGATGGCATGTCTGGTTTGATCCATGGACTTGGCAATGGGTGTACACCTTTGGTACATTGATTGTTGCCAAAGGCTATGGAGAGCAGTGACATTTGTCACTTCTTGCCATATAAAATAAATAAATTTATATAATGTACTTATTATATATTAGTTATAAAAAACAATATTGTAGCCAACCATGGCTAAAAGAAAAGATAGAAGGAAAATATCAAAGTGAAAATCTTGAGTCGGAGTGGTTAGACTTCGACATGAAGATCTTGCCACCAAGTCATTGTGATGGCTTGACATGATGAGCCATACATCAGGCCATGCAATGCCATGTTATCTTGTCCCGCGTAGCCACGGCCTGGGGGGCATGATGGCTTGAAAGTGGTAGTAGAGGAGTGGTGACCATAATGTCTCTACCAACATAAAAATGAACATTATTTTTTCTAAGGAAAAAAGTAGACGACTTGACTTGTCGCGAGGGAGCTGTCTAGCCTTGTGATGAGGTGGGATGAGCCAATCTATGCCAGAATAGGTGCGAAAAATTCTAAGTTATTCTCTCAACTATGTGACCAAGTACGAGATTTCAATGAGGGTGTAGGTGATAAAGTGAAGTTGGTGTCTCGTTGAATGCATTAGGTGGCTTTACCATTAAAAGCCAAAATTTGGCTAAGGCATGGGACAAGTCGTTGACGTGGAGTTCCATCCGGCCATGTTGGCATGATCTTTGAAAACCAAAATTTGGCTAAGGCATGAGACAAGCCTTGACGGCGAGTTCCATCCGGCCATGTTGGCTTGATAATTAAAATCCAGAAATTTGGCTAAGGCATGAGACAAGTTTTGACGTTGAGCTCCATCCTATAGTATTGGCTTGGCGTGAAAGCCAAATTTTGGCTAAGGATAAACTAGGTGTGTTGAGTATACTCTAGCCAGCTTGTTACTTTCGCTAGCATGGTGGTGTTCAACTACATAGTCCATAATTCTTATGCACTAAGTAGTTGGGGGGCATTTGTTTACACCTAAAAAATAATCTTGTACCACATTGATTATTTACAAGGCATTTATTATCTTTATAAGGCCAGATTATTAATGACAATTAATGTTATTTGAACTGGGCCTCATGATAATAATTTTAAGCCCCAAACTAAGTCTCCAAGAAGGAGCTAGACTCGTCGCGAGTTGAAGAGCCCGACGTGGTCATGAGATCTGGACCACGTTGGCTTCAAATTTAGAGCTCGACGTGGTCATGAGATCTAGACCACGTTGGCTTCAAATTTAGAGCTCGACGTGGTCATGAGATCTAGACCACGTTGGCATCAAATCTAGAGCCCGACGTGGTCATGAGATCTAGACCACGTTGGCTTCAAATTTAGAGCTCGACGTGGTCATGAGATCTAGACCACGTTGGCTTCAAACTTAGAGCTCAACGTGGTCATGAGATCTTGACCACGTTGGCTTCAAACTTAGAGCTCGACGTGGTCGCGAGATCTAGACCACGTCGTGAGACCATGTCCAAGATCTGAGCTAACAAGTTGGAAGTAAGAAGGCAAGTCATGTGGGAGAGGCAAGTAACAAGACTACAGTTCCAGGATGAAGAGCAGGCGGTTAACGGAGAAACTGCTGATTATCCCACGTACAATGACACGCCAGCCACGTCCGAGAAAGAAGGGAAGCAGTTCTTTTTGGAAGTTACTCTAAAACAGTTTTCTACAACGGTTATCATCTCAAGCCTATAAATAGGAGGAGGAGTTGACAGAGAGGAGGAGGCCAAATTCACACCAGACAACACAATGTCAAATTTTATCCCTTTATCCTTTCCTCTGCAATTTTAGTCGTAGTAGTAGATCCGGAGCTCTCGGTGAACCTCCATAGGAGTAGGAGTAACTTAATGTAGATCTGTCTCAGGATTCGTGTAAACATCGATCACCCTCGTTCGAACTGTGTTTGAAGAGGTGTGAACTGTGTTAAGTTAATCGTTGTCCAAAGAAGTCGAGGTGCAATCAATATCAATTCAACGCAAGTTTTCTCGCCGGAGAACACAACCAGACCAAACCGAGTTGAACCAAATCAAACTGAACTGGTGTGGCGGTTGGAATAACCAAACCGGTCCAACTATCATAAGCCGAATCGATGCAATTATTCATTATTTTAAATGAACCAATGTGATGGTTGGAGTGTAACCACCCATATGAAGGGTCGTCTCCCTTCGTACGCACCCCTTCATTTGCAATAAATAACTCATCACCCCCTCTGGTTTTGACATACGTTTTTCTGGTACCAAAAACTCTGCTAAAATCCAAAACTAGTTTTTTGCATTCTCTTTTAAAGAGAAGGCTACTAGCGGCGAAGCCCCGTTGGCATCGAATTTGATTGCAGGTGGCCCATAGATTTAGCAGGACCTGTTGTCACAAAATAGCTCATGAGGCTGAGGTTTCTCGGTAATAAAAAAAATAAATATTCACGAAGTTAAGCATTAATTGTATCATTAGCTTGTGCTCTCTCATAAGCCTCCTCTATCAAGCCAATTATTAGTATTAACTATTAAAAATGACCTGAACGTTCTATAGTTTGTCAATTATATGTGAAGATATTGGGAGGAGTTACGGTGCTAATTGTACAATAGTTAGCACCGTCCTAACCAAGGGAAAAACTACTACTAGCTTGAATTAGTAGTGATTTAGCTTAGATGTTATATTGATTTTATAATAATTCGTAGTGATTTCGTTATTTTTAGTAGTGTTTTTTGCTAGTTATCACGGTGCTAACCCCTATAAGGATTAGCACCTAATCCCATCCCGAAGATATTTAGTCGATATTTTTATATTTCAACAAATTTTCTATTTCCACCCTTAATTTCTAAAAATTGAAACACGTGCCCTATATTATGGTTTGAGAAAACTCAAAAAGATGTTTTGATAAATCATTTTATTTCAGATTAATTTTAAGAATTTTGGGCCACATTTAATTGTTTATATTATATATTCATAATTTTTTTGCTTGGAAGTATATCAGAGGGGGAGCCGATGAGGTCAGCAATCTTATGGTGAGTAATCATGAGTAACTCGTTCATGTCAGTATGACATCAGCATCTCTCTCATGGAAAGCCTTTTATCTTTTTTCCTTTAATCTTTAACGAACGATTTCTCTCTCGTTTTAAGTCGAAATTTAAATTTTTTTGTACAGATAAATTAGATAAATTATGCTCTTTAAAATGATATTCACTTTGATATATTTTCAGAACAAAAAATTGAGTCATTTTTGACCATTCAATACCATATGATATGCTCCTATTTAATACCATATGATATGAAAGCGTACCATGATGGTATGAACATACCAATATAGTAGGAAAGTTGAATACATGATAGTAGGAGTACACTAACTGTCATTTACGACTTTCATCATTGTTTACCACAAGTTACCATCCGCATACCATAGTGGTAAAGTATGGTAATTTCTATCCAAAAAAAAGTATGGTAATTTTTTTCTTGTATTTTTTTCACCCCGAAATTTGTAGATCCAATAAATCATGATGAACTTGTTCTTTCTGAGCAAACGTTTTCGAAAATGACTTAAGAACGAAGAAGTTACTATATGGTATGTAGTTGGTAACTGGAGGTATGAAAAAAAGTTTCTCGAAATATATTTACAATTGATCTCATTTTGTAGAACACAATGAACTCGTTCCATCTGTGCAAAAAAATAAATTAATTAAAATCCGAGTTAGAACGAAAAAGATAAGAGACAATTAAGAACAGTAGGGAAAATAAAATGCATTTAATTCACAACCCTCAGATCTCGATTTTCTAGGCCACTTAGATCTAAAAGTACAGATTTAGTTACTCATAAGTCAGTAACCAATATCTCAAGCCGAAAAGATAACATACTAACCTCATTAATAATCCTTATCCACCGATAGATAATTAGATATTAATTAGAGATAGTTTTGAAATTTAAAAATTAAGTCAACTTTAAGTTTAAATTTCACAATAAAAATACCAACTAATTTTCTCTGTCTAGCCTTCTTCCTCCTCCCTCGCACATCTCTTTCCTCTCCCTCGCTTCTCTCTTCACATAAACGAATAAGATAGTTTACAACTTAAGGGGCAACGAGTTAACTTTGTAAAATCAGCGGTTTGCTTTAGCAAGAATATCGTTGTGCCTGACCAAGAGTTTCTGGGCCAGGTCCTAGGAGTGGGAGTTGTGGGTGCCCACGATAAGTATTTGAGATTGCCTACTCTGATAGCTCAATCTAAAATGGAGACGTTTCGCTCTTTGGAGGAGAAGTTGCTAGATCGACTTTAGGGATGGAAACAACAGACTCTATCTTGGGCAGCGAAGGAGACCTTGGTAAAGTCTGTTGCTCTGCCATTGCCATTACCCTGTTATGTCCTGCTTTAAGCTCCCACTCTCACTCTGCCGCCTCCTGGATAATCACACTGCTAGGTTTTGGTGTGGGGGGGGGGGGGGGGGGGGGGGAATGGCCAGTCAAAAATACATTGGATGTCCTGGCGGAATATGTGTAGAAGTAAACATGAGGGTGGAATGAGGTTTCGCCGCTTCGAACATTTCAATCAGGCGCTCCTAGCCAAGATTAATGACTGGCGCATATAGATTGATCCCAACTCTCTACTTGCACATGTGTATAAGGGGAAATATTTCCCTCGTGGAAGCTTCCTTATGCCACTACGCGTTCCCGTCCGTCCAGTGGTTGACAAAGCATCATGTTCGGTCGGCGATTATTGATGCAGAGGCTCTGGTGGCAAATTGGGAATGGCCAGCCTGCTCCGTTGCTTCAGAGAAATTGGGCGCCTCGCCTTCATCCACTACCCCCTACGTTTAATTCCCGAATCTTGCCTGCTGATGATAAGCTTACGGTTGCTGCAGTCATTAGTCCGGGGATAGGACGCTGGTGTGATTTGAATCTCAGACAGTGGTAATGTTTAGGTAATGTTGAGGACCGCCTAACTTGGCATTGTACACCTGACAGGTCTTTCCCCGTTAAATATGCTTACCATTTGGCAGTCATGCTGAACAAAAAAAGTCGGGCAATGGCGGTCATTTTCTAGTTGGATTGACAGGCCTAACTGGATCCGGTTGTGGGCAGCTCCAATTCCCCCTAAGCTAAAGGTTTTTCTTTGGCAAATATTCAACCATCTCCTCCCTATGACGGATGCTCTGATTGAAAAGAAGGTCCAGGTCCATCCTCGATGTCCAGTTTGCTGGGCGGATTCGAAGACGTTGGAGCATTTGTTTCTTTAGTGCCCAGTGGCGAGGGCCTTATGAGATTACGCGGGATTGGAGTTGGCCAGGGGCTTCCTCGCCAAACTTTCCCACTGGTCCTAAAAAGGTTGATGATGCTCATCCATCAACCCCAGCTGGTTATGGCTGTCACTACTGTCCTTTGAAGGATCTGGCTTTCACGTAACTGGGTTGTCTGTGAGGGTAAGAAGTTTAGTATCCCAGCTTTAATGCGGCAATTCCACCAGCATTATCAGGAATGGGTAACTTTTTCGGTTGATAGGATTCAACGATTTCCTATCCAACCTATGGCGATGGCCCCAGATTGCCCTATAATATGTATGTGGGATGGGGAAACCAAAGTTGCGTCTCATTCGGCTGGTGGGATGATTGTCATGAATCAGGCTGGGGAGATTAGCCTGGCTAAAGGGGTTCAGTTCATTGGGATTCATGATCCATTGGTTGCTGAGTTCTGTCTCTCCGGGAGGCTATTCCTTGGTGTAGGGCATCTGATTTTATGGAGGTGTGATTCGAAGGGGATGCTAAGGTGATTATTGATAAGGTCAATCAATCGGATACCAGGGTGAGCCGGATAGGTGCGCTTCTTGAGGAGGTTGTGTGATGCTTGGAGCTTTAGAATGAATTCTCTCTGCGATCTGTAGGTCGGAGTAGTAATAGGGTAACCCACTTGGTGGCTAAGAAGACCCTTTAATTGTACCCGACTATGAGTCGTTTTTTTATTTTTTATTTTATGGCCTGGTTAAATTTAAGGATGTAACTATCTTCGCTTCTGATCAATATATTGATTAACTTTTGAAAAAAAGAATTATCAACAATTTAAATTTAAATTTCACTAAAACTACTAACAGATTTTTTCCCTCGGCTTTCTTTCTCTTTCCTCTCCCTTTCTTCTTTCTTCACATTAACAAAAAGTTCCTTTAAAAATGAAATAGAATTATGAAGTGGTTATGGTTGATCGTCCGGGAAAAAAGAGGCGGTGAAAAAAAAATATGATGACGTGGCCTCATGATATCGTAGAGAATTTGAAATGAAAAATGATTTTTTGAGAAACACTATAATATATATTGTAGATATCTAGATGGAGTATAAAAAGATACTGCGAAAAAATAAAATTCAACAAGACCACCTTATTTTTTTTTTATGAATCAGTTTGTTTCATTTCATCAAAAAGCAATACTAGCAACATCCTTGCTAGTTAGGTAGCAACTCAATAGTTTTGTTTCAACATGATATATTAACCAAACACAAAAAGGACTCAAAATTTGCACTCCCAAACAACCCTATAATATCTTCCCTAACAACCCTGCACAAGACATCACAATCCCTGCATTGACCACTATATACTCTGCTGCACCTTTCTCTCCATAACAGGCTTACCAAGCTTTGCCATAACGCTCTGTCAACATGCAACTGGACTGAATGAGTCCCAAACTGATGCTACAACCAAACAATTTCACCCTTCAAGGAGGAAGGCATCTGAGCATTCCCTGAGCCCCTGCAAAAAAGTTTCCCAACCATTTTCCTCTACAATGGACACACTGCAAACAGATGATCAATCGTCTCAAGAGAACAGTTACAAAAAACAAATCCTACACTACCATCAAAGCCCCATTTCAACATTCTCTCTTTGGTAGTTAGAGCTCTTTTAATAATCAGCCAAGTAATGAATCTATTCCTTGGAATTTAGCTACTCTTCCATAAGATGTTGGATCATGGCACTTTCTGCTGTTTTGGCCTGATAGTCTCCCAGATATGTCTAATGGAGAAAACCTCCATTCGTTTCTAATTCCAGTAAACTTACGGCCCAGCTGATGAAAATAAGTGCACACTCTTTGCATAGTTTTTAGTATGCGTTTCCAATTCCAAGACCCAGAACCACCAGAGTATAGCCAAAAATATTGGCCTTTAAGTTTGTAGATGCTGATCCACGCAACCCATAATGATCCATGCTGCATTAACAGGAGCCAAATATGACGAGTAACACAAGCAACTTTCTAGGTTTCCAAATCTCTCAGACCAAGTCCCCTCCTGTTTGGGAAACGTGAGGAATTTCCATCCTATTTTAGCTTTCAATCTGCCTCCATTCCCCACTCCCCATAAGAAGTTACTGAGAATTCCTTCCACTTCTCTAATCACTGCCTTTGGAAGTATAAAAACAACTATCCAGTATTGATGCAAGCTATACAACACTGAGCTAACTAGTTCAACACGACCAGCATATGATAAGAATCTTGATTTCCATCTATTTATCCTAGCTACAATTTTATCAATCAGTGGTTTATATGCTGAAACAGTGAGTTTCCCCTAAGACAAGGGTACTCCAAGATACCTGACTGGAAATTTGGCAAATGTAAACCCATATCTGTCTGGCCTCACCTTCTATTCTGGGCCAGGCAGCCCCCCCCCCCCCCCCCAAAAAAAAAAAAAAACAACTCACATTTACTAGGGTTAACTTGCAAATCAGAAAGTCTTCTAAAACGAGCTAGGATCTCTTGCAATATTTGAAAACCATAATTTGAACCATCAGAGAAAACAAGAAGATCATCTGCAAAGCATAGATGAGTATGCCAATCTTCTTGCACATTGGATGGAAAGGAAATAAACCTTTTTGAGCTTCTCTATCTAAGATGCAAGAGAAAACCTCCATTACAATCACAAACAGATAAGGAGAAAGTGGGCAGCCTTGCCTAAACCCTTTACAAGCAGGGAAATAACCCACTAATCCTCCATTTAACCCCACACTTAGCACAGGAGTACTCGCACACATCTTTATCCAACTAATGAACAAATCTGGAAACCCCATATTCTTCAACACTTTGAAAATAAAAAGCCAATTAACTGAATCAAAGGGTTTCATTAAATCTATTTTGAGAGCACATCTAGGAGAAACATTTTTATGAGCATACTTGTGAACAAGTTCATGAGCTAGCAAAATATTATCTCCAATAGATCTCCCCTTTAGGAAAGTTGTTTGGTTCAAGCTAATAAGATGAGGCAGATGAATCCTAAGCCTATTTGCAATAATTTTGACTATAACTTTGTAGATAGTATTGCAACAGGAAATAGGTCTGAAAAATCTCATTTCATCATAGTTCTAGACCTTAGGAACAAGAGCTAAAATTGTAGCATTCACTTCCCTAGGAACTTTACTCTCATAAAAGCACGTTTGGATAGCAAACGTTACCTCTGCCCCTACAACAGGCCAAGCATGTTGAAAGAATGTTGCCGAGTAACCATCAGGTCCCGGACTTTTATCTCCATTCATTGCAAAAACCACACTCTTCACCTCATCCTCTATAACAAGAGCACATAGTCCTTCTTCATTGGATATAGTCTTCCTTAATAGCTTAGAGTAAAACCCATCCGATTCTTCTATCACATCAGGATCATTTCTTCCCAGTAATCATTTATAAAATCCTTCAACTATATCTCCCAGATCTTTTAAGTCAGTGACCTTACATCCCTCCTCATTCTTGAGCATAGTTATCGTATTCCTCCTTTGTCCGGATTTCAGATATACGTGAAAATATGGAGTGTTTGAGTCTCCCCCCTTAAGCGAGAGATCTCGAGACTTATGCCTTAGGAAAGATTCTTCAGCCTGGAGTAACTCATGCAACTCCCTTGAAATCACAGATTCCTGCTTAAACACTTCACTAGTAGGATTGGATAGTGCTTCCTACTGTATAGAATCAAGTTCAGCCTTTTCACCCTCTCCCTTATATCCGAGAATTCTTCATGATTTAATTCTTTCAGAAACTTCTTGAGAATTCGCAGTTTCTTATAAACTTTTATCATTGGCGGCCCTCACACCCTACTATCCCAAGCTTTCCTAAGCAACTCATCAAAATTCGAGTGCTTGATCCAAAATGAAAGAATTTAAACCGCTTTGGCATGACTGCTTTGCAGCCTCTGTATCTACCAAGCTCGGACAATGATCTGAAATACCTGGCTTCTCAAAGTGAACTAAACTTTCCACCATCTTATCCATCCATTCAAAGTTCACCAACACTCTATCAAGTTTTTTCGCTATTGGGCGAGCATCTTGCTTGTTTAGCCAATTGAACCATGGACATGTAGCTTGATGATCTTGTAACTCTAACTCCAGGATTCAACTCTCAAAATCCTTCATACTAGTGTTGTAATGTGGAGTATTTGATGCTTCAAAAGAACATCGGATTACATTGAAATCTCCAAAAATCATCCAAGGATTTCCTCGAATTCTAAGCTTCTTAATATCCTCAAACAATCTTCTTCTATCCCTGTCTTCATTTGATGCATACACAAATGTCGCAAAGAAATGTATACAGAGCTAATAAGAACATGAATCAACTGATCAGTAGAGTGCAGAATTCTGAGGGGTATGTCCTTTCTCCAAATCAACCAAAATTTTCCTAAACCGACAGAGTTGTAAGTAATCTCATTTTTTCCAATCCAAAAACCTCTTATTCACAAGCTTCTTCTCTTCCTTTCTTCTAATTCTAGGCTCAAGTATAGCTATTATACTAAGATTATATTTATTTATCTTTCTAAGTAAATCAAAATACTTACTATTAGCTATAAATCCTTTAGCATTCCACGTGAGAATTTTCATTTCTTCTTCTTCCTACCCTTTCCACCATTTCCTCCTTTCTTCACCACTTGAAATGGCTCTTGAGGATCTTCCACCCATATTTTCTTTCCTTTGTCCACCATAGGAGTCTGGATATCCTTGCTGACAGTGGAAAGTTGTCTCTCATTCCCTCCCCGAGGAGACTGAACCCGAGACCCATGGGTATTTTTGCCCAAACCCAATTAAACCCATTTTGTATGGGTAGGGTATGGATTTCTTTTATATGGGTTTGGATACTAGTTGGGTAGGTGGAGTTGGATTTGGATTTTGTAATCAATATGAAAGCGGATATGGGGTTGGCATGGGAACCCATCACTTTTGACATGTTTGTAAATGTCACGCCCTGTCCCTCCCAAATGGTTCTGTGTGTATGTCTCATGTTTGTAAATTTAAACATTAGTCATGTTTTCACTATTTCAATATGATGGTTGAGAGAATACTACCTAAACGTTAGAGATCTATCTAGCATACCTCCAGTGCATGAAACGTACTAAGTAGTTTTCATCTAAAAATTGTAATCAATTAAACTTGATGATAATCACCTAGCCACGTCCTAAACTTCTTTCTTGTAACCGCTTATGGCTCAATGAGAAGGGAAAAGTCCATTAGTTCCCAATGAACGAAATGTTGGAGGGAAATCAAGCCTCTTTTGTCCTTTTGCCACACCCCCATAATGAATGATTTTATTAAGCAGAAACTAGTGGGTAACAGAGAAGCAATTTCCCAGACTCCACCTCATACCTATGTTAATTGCCCCACTTCCCAATTTTCCTTTCAAGGCTACACGTGGATCATACTTGCCAGGTTAGGGGTTAAATAAATGAAGGGAAATGGGTTGATTTAGAGGGAGAAGCAAGAGCTATGTACCAGGATCTCATTCATTTGTACCCAGTGAGTAGAGAGCATCAGTTATTCAAAAAAAAAAAAGAGTAGAGAGCATCAACTGGCTATCTCCACCTCTATCTCTTACTAGCTTCTTGAGTTCTCAATCTCAGTAGAGAGGATGGATGAAAGTTTAACTCCGTCATTGATGCTAAACAAACAAAAACAAATTGTCCCTCATATACTCCTCCCAATTATACTCAAGGAGGGGTCTTTGAGTGAGAGATTAGCAAAGCGGTCAAATTTCTAACGAAGGTATTGTCCTCTTTTCTTTAATGAAGTTGTCTGCTAAGGGAAGCAATTAGGGGTTCTGCATATTGAGATATATGTATATATCAATATATGGGTGGGAAGGCATATTTAAGTTCATGCATGCAGTTGATATGGTGATTCGATTCTAGCTTAGGGTGGAAACCTTACCAAGATTAGTGATAGTGGCGGAATCAGTCCCACTATTGGAAATGAGATTAATGTTGGAATCAATTTGTGTGTATGTATGTATACCACAAATATATTTAACATAAGCATTTCATGAACATTAGGGTGTATATATATATTTACGAATGCAAACTATATATAATTTAAAAATAAAAATAAATGGAGATATGGGGTAAGATAAGTGACAGGAGTGGGATGTACTAAAAGGAGGTAGTATTTGAGGTACCTTAAGTTGACAATTATACAAGATTAAGTGGGGGAAGGAAGAGTTAATTGGAGTGAAGTGATTATCTAATAGTGCTTATGTGTGCTTGTGAGGCGTGCATGTATGGGTTCTAAAAGAAGGTTGTTAGAAAGTTATGAATCCAATTTTATTAATTTGGATAAGTCAATGATAAGCATGTTAGTTAAATGTAATGGATGATTAGTTAGTGGAGTATGAGATGTTAGCTTGAATATTCGTATATTAAATATGTTTGTGAGTGTGTGAAAGGAAATAGCGTGTACCGGAGGGTCAAAGAATCCTCTTAAATATGTTTGTGAGTGTGTGAAAGGAAATAGCGTGTACCGGAGGGTCAAAGAATCCTCTAATGTGAGATATGAGTACACTTTCGATAAATATAATTGTTATCTTAATTGTGATTAAGGAAACCATCAGCTCTTGTACTGAATCTTTTATACATCACTTTTCAAAGGAAAAGCGAAGCGGGCAATCATTGAAGCGAAACGGAATAACTTAATAGCAACTTTACTTTGAGTAAATTCTAATCTAATGTTTATCTTAATACGATTTTGTTATTTGGGTCATGAAGCAGCCCGAGGATAAGGTATATGATGGCTTGGTAAGACATAACCCAAATGTGATTGAAGGTTGCTATGTTGCATGGTTACATGATTGAATGATTCTATGATTGGATGAGGTTACCGTGTCGTGGTATAATTGTATGATAATGTGATGATATGACGAAATGATTGTATGATGGTATGACCAGAAGGTCATAATACATGCTATGTGTGTGCTAAATGATATTATGTGATGAGTATTTGATATGTTAAATGCTATTTGAGGCTGTCAAGTGAAAAGAATGGCAAGAAAGGTTGTCTATTATCAATTATACGAGATGAGATAAAATAACCTATGAGCTATACAAGTGAATGTTATATGAAATGGCACACAAGTGATATATTGAGTTGTGACTAACTATAAGATTTTGTATGGTCACCTAAAGCAAACGTAACGACGCCCTGTCATGCACTCATTATAAGTGAAAAGAGGCTTAAAGCCTAAGAGATAAAAGAGTTATACGAGAACTCCTTTTAAGGAGTAATGCCAGGCCTAGCTACGAGTTTATGAGATATGCCACTCTGTGCCCCATGAGTTTAAGAGTTCATGAGATATGGCACTCTGTGCCCACGAGTTCACGAGTTTATGAGATCTGGCACTTTGTGCCAACGAGATTACGAGTTCACGAGATCCCGGGGAGTGCATGACTTGGCAAACTAAGGAATAAAAGCTACTGAATCCAGCTAACTATATGTGTGTCTGATTGGATGCTGATACATGGGTGATTTTGGTTGCCATAGTTTATATATAGAATGTGAACCCCTACACGAAATATGAAACACATGAAGGTCGTTCTGTTTTATATGTGATATAAGGTTATATGAGGTATATTTTGTGATAATCTTTCATGACGAGTGGTAAAATGATTAATCGGGAAACTGTTCTACAAGTAGTGATGATATGTTGATTTAATTATGATACTTCCACGATATGTTAATGTGTATAATGTTATGTGTCTATAATACATTCCATAATGCGGTGTTGCTAGAAGTGTAAGGATATGATGGAAAACTCTGTATGGTGTATAAGAACAAATATGAACTATTTGCAACACCAGGTGGGGTAAAGTAAAGGTGGAATCCTAAACGAATCATCTATGACATATATGTAAAAGCTCAAATGAATGACCCATAACGTATATGTGAAAGATCGAGTGAACGAGGGAAGAAATTTCGTATGAGCATACATAAGTGAGACATAAGTAAAGTCTTTAAGTGATTAGATATACATCGAATATAATGGACGGAAGACGCTCCGAGTCACAACATCCTGATATCATTTTCGTATGAATATTTATATTAGGTTATTATTTACTCATTGAGTGACGTCTCACCCCATCAATATTTTCCATGAATCCAAATGACATCAAAGGCTTGGTAGATTCGTGGATTGGATCAGATTCGTGGATTGGATTGGTGGATCCATGGATCCAATGGATTGGTGGATTCATGGATTGGATCCAATGGATTGGTGGATTGATCCATGAATCCAAATGACATCAAAGGCTTGGACCAAAATGTAAAATTTGAAAAGTTTTGGTATTAAAATATCATAATGAAAAAATTTAGGTACCAAAATGTAATCTTCCAATGATATTTGTCGTATAAAAATATAAATTTTAGGTACCAAAATATAAAATATAAAAAATATAGGTACCAAATCATAATTTGCCTTTTGGATCCATGGATTGATCCATGAATCCACCAATCCAATTGGATTTGGATCAAATGGATTGGATTAGGTGAATAATTTGGTGGATGGATTGGATTGGATTCATGGATTTGGATCCTAATTGCCACCTCTACTCTCCACAAATATTTCAATTCAAGGTTAGGGAATCCGTAAAGATTTTGCAAGCAAAGGTCTTATACAAGACAAGTTTTAAATACAACTTCATTTTCTATGCGCTTCATATAAAGATTGTAGGTAAACCAAAAATAAATTGGTAAAGGGAAATATTAGGAACAAGAATATAAGATAGGGTGTTACAGTAAATGTTTATTATTTAGGTATTAAATTGTAAATTCCGTACATAAGGCTGGAAATGTTTGTAACTTTTTATAACATTCAGGTACTAAAAAATAATTTTTACATATAGCACGGGAATCATGTTACCGGGCATCAGAATCTGCTCCGTCACCGATCTCCGTCGTTTCGACTACCGCTGGCCGCCACGATCATCATCAAAAGTGAACCGCCGGCATCGGAATTGGGAGATGTCAATCCTGAGCCTAGCTTCCACGCTCTGCAAACTGTTGGAAATGTATATGAATAGCTTTGAAAGCTATAGAGTCTCAAGTGGAAAAACTACCACATTGGTAGTTTTACTTGGTGAAATGGGTATAAAGATAGGAGCCTCTCTCCTAAGGGCATGCCCCTTGGGGTGACCCACTTTTGTGGGAGAGGGAGGACCTAACGGACAACCACACACACACGCGCGCGCCGTCCATCCGTCCGACCGGCCGGTCGGTCGGTCGGTTGGTTGGTTGGTTCACTTGAGACTACATATATATTTTTTGTAGAAATTCCGAACGAAATTAATTATCTAATAATTAATTATTAATCGGTTATTCTGAGGAATATTCTAAGGATAATCGACTGAAAAATGAATATTCGAAGGATAATCCCTCCGGGTTTATCTTAACCGACGGTTTTAATTAAGGAAGTAATTATCTTCCTTAATTAATCCAACTTATTCCCCAAGCAAGAGGGTATCTTCCTTAATTAATGCTCAATTCTGGAGCTGCTTCTTCTTGGTGGGGTGATATTTTGTTGACAGTTTGCTATGTGCTAAACCGTCTTCCAAAAACAAATAGAAAAGAATCACCCTATGAGATCTTGAAGAATAAGCCACCTAATCTGTCCTGTTTAAGAATGTGGGGCTGTTTGGCCTACGTAAGAATTCCGGATCCTAAGAGGATTAAATTGACTAGTCGGGCATATGAATGTGTCTTCGTTGGCTATGCGGCCAATAGTAAGGCATATAGATTCTATGATTTGAATGCTCGTACTATAATAGAATCCATTGATGCCGATTTCTTTGAGACACGATTTCCATTTAAAACGAGAAATAGTGGGGGTAATGTACTACCCGCTATTAGAGATAATGGAACTAGTGGGGGTGTTGGTTCTAAGGATGAACTCAGAAGAAGTAAAAGAGCTAGAATCTCTAAAGATTTTGGTGATGACTTTACTACAGTATTCACCCTCGAAGATCCAAAAAGTTTGCAGGAAGCATTAACTTCCGTAGATGCAGATTTTTGGAATGAGGCCGTTATAGATGAAATGGAATCGTTAGAATCTAATAAGACTTGGCATCTAACAGAATTACCTCCTGGTTGCAAAGTCTAAGGTAATAAATGGGTTCTAAAAACGAAATGGAAACCTGATGGTGCAATCGAAAGGTTCCGAGCTCACCTAGTAGTTAAGGGCTACAGGCAGAGAGAGAATATAGATTTCTTCGATACCTATTCACCAGTATCAAGAATAACATCCATTCGTGCAATGATTGCTCTTGCTGCCTTGAACAATCTCGTGGTACACCAAATGGATGTTAAGATCGCTTTTTTGAACGGAGATCTGGATGAAGAAATCTATATGGAACAACCAGAAGGGTTTGTTATCCCCGAACATGCCTCGAAAGTCTGTAAGTTAGACAAACCATTATATGGTTTGAAACAGGCTCCAAAACAGTGGCATGAGAAGTTTGACACTCTCGTTCTCTCACATGGCTTTAAGGTGAATGAGAGTGACAAGTGTATTTACTGCAAGTCAGAAAATAACACTTGCACTATCATATGTTTGTATGTAGATGACATGTTGATATTTGGTACAAATATTCACGTGGTCAATGAAGCAAAAGCCATGTTAAAAGAGAGCTTTGAGGCGAAAGATCTAGGAGAAGCAAAGTTTATGCTTGGAATCCAGATAACTAGAACAACAAATATTTATTCTCTAGATCAATCTAGCTACATAGAGAAGATCTTGAAGAAATATAACTATTTCGACTGTAAACCTGCGTGTACTCCGTATGATGCTAGTGTAAAGCTATTTAAGAACACTGGAGACAGTGTAAGACAATCAGAATATGCTAGCATCATTGGCAGTCTCCGTTATGCAGCGGATTACACTCGACCAAACATTGCATATGTCGTGGGATTGCTTGGCAGGTTTAACAGCTGTCCTAGTAGAGAGCATTGGAATGCTATAGAGAGGGTCATGAGATACCTCAAGAGAACAGCAAACCTTGGTATACACTATCAAAGGTTTCCTGCTGTACTAGAAGGGTATAGTGATGCGGATTGGAATACCCTATCAGATGACTCCAAGGCAACCAGCGGGTATGTTTTTAACATCGCTAGTGGAGCCGTGTCTTGGAAGTCAAAGAACCAAACTATCCTAGATCAATCAACTATGGAGTCAGAGATGATAGCACTAGCAACGGCTAGTGAAGAAGCAAGTTGGTTGAGAGGATTGTTGTCAGAGATTCCCCTATGGGAAAGGCTGGTCCCTCCGGTATTGATCCATTGTGATAGTACCGCAGCTATCGCTAAAGTTGAGAACCGGTTCTATAACGAAAAGAAACGACAGATTCGTTGTAAGCACAGTACTGTAAGAGAACTCTAAACGATAGGATCATTGAGGGTGGATCATATATGATCCGAACAGAATCTAGCTGATCCTTTGACGAAAGAATTACCTAGAGAGAAAGTCCAGAATACCGCCAAGGGTATGGGACTTATGCCTACCGAACCACGGACTACAAGTGATGGTAACCCGACCCAATAGACTGGAGATCCCAAGAAATGTGTTCAATGGGTAATAACAAGTCATGAGTAGTATGCGAAAAGTTCATGCATAGTGAAGCATGAATCCCAAAGCAATGGAGGTTGAGTTAATAACTCTTAATGAGATCTATACCCTATGTGGGGTGGAGTACTTTACTTTGGGGGTACTCCTGATAGACTCACCTATGTGAATGTGGGAGTGGGGCCGCTCCCTATGGAACTTTGGAGGCACAAAGTTGCTAGAGCTTTCACTAAACCAAGATAACGTGCATGGCCATAAACGCACGGGCTAAGAAGAGAACACAACTCAATGAAAAGATTCGGTGTGCTATACTGTCTGAGATAGGGTTCAAGACTACGAGTCACCCTTATGAAATCGGAAGTGTAACCACTACGCTAAGGTTCAAATCTTCGCGATACCTTAGCTTATGCCCGATCTTATGGAATTGTTAATGCTCAGAGATAGTTTCAAAACTATTCAAGTGGGGGATTGTTGGAAATGTATATGAATAGCTTTGAAAGCTATAGAGTCTCAAGTGGAAAAACTACCACATTGGTAGTTTTACTTGGTGAAATGGGTATAAAGATAGGAGCCTCTCTCCTAAGGGCATGCCCCTTGGGGTGACCCACTTTTGTGGGAGAGGGAGGACCTAACGGACCACCACACACACGCGCGCGCCGTCTGTCCGTCCGACCGGTCGGTCGGTTGGTTGGTTCACTTGAGACTACATATATATTTTTTGCAGAAATTCCGAACGAAATTAATTATCTAATAATTAATTATTAATCGGTTATTCTGAGGAATATTCTAAGGATAATCGACTGAAAAAGGAATATTCGAAGGATAATCCCTCCGGGTTTATCTTAACCGACGGTTTTAATTAAGGAAGTAATTATCTTCCTTAATTAATCCGACTTATTCCCCAAGCAAGAGGGTATATTCCTAGGGATTCGGCTCCTATAAATAGCCGCCTCCCCAGCCCCTCTAAACACATCACAACGAGCATAAACACAATAGAGAGAGTGTTCAGAGAGCTCCGGTTTTCGCACAAAACCGCGAGTATTGAGAGGAGCTGTTTTATTCTGGAGACGGCCGGTTGATAGTCTGCCGTGCGCATCGAAGGCAGTGCCGCGAACGTCTTAAAGAGAGCGACCTAGTCCGCGACTCAGCTCCAGATTCGGTAACCTCGTTCTTCTTGTTGTTCCGTTCCTAACAATTTTAAGACGTTCGGCTGCTGCTATGACGACTGAACAGAACAACATGGCCGGATCTGGTGCTGTCGATATCAATCGACCCTTTCGCTTCGTTGGGGTCAACTTCCGTCGCTGGAGACAAAAGATGGAGTTCTACATGACGACCAAAAAGTTGGCACACTGCCTAACCAGCATGCCCGTCGAGCTGCCGGAAGAAGCGACCGATGAGGAGAGGGCTGATTCTGCCAGAGAAATGGAGCATGACTTCCTGTGCAAGAACTACATCCTCAACGGCCTGGCAGACGATCTCTACGATTACTATGCGGACAGTAAGAACACCGCGATGATGATCTGGGATGCGCTCCAAAAGAAGTACGACACGGAGGAGGCTGGAGCTAAGAAGTATGCTGTCAGCCGCTACCTGCGCTACCAGATGGTGGATGACAAGTCCGTCGAAGTTCAGTTCCACGAACTTCAGAAAATAGCTCATGAGATCGTCTCTGAAGGTATGCCTCTGGACGATCAATTTCAAGTTGCTTGCATTATTGATAAGCTTCCCCCTTCGTGGAAAGATTTTAAGAATATGCTTAGGCACAAAACCAAAGAATTTTCACTGGAAAGCTTGATTACTCGCCTAAGGATTGAGGAAGAGTCCCGCAAGCAGGATATGAAAGAAGAGGTGATGGTCGTCACTGCTAAACGACCCACCCCTAGAGCTCTTAAACCTAACCAGAAAGGGTTTAAGAGTAAGAACCAGCAGGTCCGCCCCCACCAGAATGGTGCCTCTCGAGGTAACCAAAGGGTCATGGCCCAAACCTCTAAGAATGACCCACCGTTTATCTGCTATAACTGTGGAAAACCGGGTCATATGGCAAAAAAGTGTCGGAACAAGCAAAACCCTGCCGCTGCGGCCAGGGTTAACTTGACAGAAAAGGATTTGATAGCCATGATCACATATATGATCGCTGAAGTTAACCTCACCGGTGACTCAGAAGGATGGTGGCTGGATACAGGTGCATCGAAGCATGTATGCAACAATCGTGCTATGTTTAAAACATACACAGAAGCACCTGCTGACAAGAAAGTGTTGTTGGGGACTACTCACACCACTATGGTTGCTGGTTCTGGTGAAGTGGAGCTGAACTTCACCTCTGGGAAGAAGATGGTGCTCAAGGATGTGTTGCACACTCCAGAGATAAGGAAGAATCTTGTTTCGGGATATCTTCTTAATAAGGCTTGGTTTAATCAAACTATTGGGGCAGACTTGTATACCCTTACTAAGAATGGGAGTGTTCAAGTTGAATGTCGAAATTAATAAGATGAATTCTTTAGTTTACATGGTGTGTGATTTGAATGTTTGGCATGCTCGTCTTTGTCATGTGAACACACGAATTTTGAAGAATTTAAGCAAGCTAGGACATATCCCTAAACTCTCAATGAGTGAATTTGATAAATGTGAACTCTGTAGCCAAGCTAAAATAACAAAAACGCCCCATAAATCTGTGAGTAGAGAATCAGAACCCTTAGATCTAATTCATTCTGATATTTGTGAACTAGATGAGACGTTAACTAGGTCTGGCAAGAGATACTTTATCACTTTCATAGATGATTGCTCTGATTATTGCTTTGTTTATTTGATGAAAAACAAAAGTGAAGCCCTTGATATGTTCAAGGTATTTGTGGTTGAATTTGAAAATTAGTGCAATCGAAAGATAAAAAGACTTAGGAGTGATAGAGGATCAGAGTATGATTCTAATCCCTTCAAGGAATTCTATAGCTCACATGGTATCATTCATGAAACCACGGCACCATATTCACCAGAAATGAATGGTAAAGCTGAGCGGAAAAATAGGACGTTTACAGAATTAGTTGTGGCTATTATGCTCAATTCTGGAGCTGCTTCTTCTTGGTGGGGTGATATTTTGTTGACAGTTTGCTATGTGCTAAACCGTCTTCCAAAAACAAATAGAAAAGAATCACCCTATGAGATCTTGAAGAATAAGCCACCTAATCTGTCCTATTTAAGAACGTGGGGCTGTTTGGCCTACGTAAGAATTCCGGATCCTAAGAGGATTAAATTGGCTAGTCAAGCATATCAATGTGTCTTCGTTGGCTATGCGGCCAATAGTAAGGCATATAGATTCTATGATTTGAATGCTCGTACTATAATAGAATCCATTGATGCCGATTTCTTTGAGACACGATTTCCATTTAAAACGAGAAATAGTGGGGGTAATGTACTACCCGCTATTAGAGATAACGGAACTAGTGGGGGTGTTGGTTCTAAGGATGAACTCAGAAGAAGTAAAAGAGCTAGAATCTCTAAAGATTTTGGTGATGACTTTACTACAGTATTCACCCTCGAAGATCCAAAAAGTTTGCAGGAAGCATTAACTTCCGTAGATGCAGATTTTTGGAATGAGGCCGTTATAGATGAAATGGAATCGTTAGAAGCTAATAAGACTTGGCATCTAACAGACTTACCTCCTGGCTGCAAAGTCTTAGGTAATAAATGGGTTCTAAAAACAAAATGGAAACCTGATGGTGCAATCGAAAGGTTCCGAGCTCACCTTGTAGTTATGGGCTACAGGCAGAGAGAGAATATAGATTTCTTCGATACCTATTCACCAGTATCAAGAATAACATCCATTCGTGTAATGATTGCTCTTGCTGCCTTGAACAATCTCGTGGTACACCAAATGGATGTTAAGACCGCTTTTTTGAGCGACCTAGTCCGCGACTCAGCTCCAGATTCGGTAACCTCGTTCTTCTTGTTGTTCCGTTCCTAACACAAACTCACGACGGATCTCAATGATTGGACGAGGCGACGAGCAAGAGCTCTGAAAAAATCCTGTCGAAACCTGAAATTGGATTGCCGGAGATGGCCGCCAGGAAACGTCGATCATGGATCTGGGACCTGGTTCGCGGGTGAACCTGGAGTCGGAGGGGTAATTTAAACCTTCCAAGAATAATGACCCTGACAGATGCCCATGCCTTCGAGCACCGCCGTCAATCCCCTCCTATCGTCCGGCACTGGGCAGTGATTATGATAGGAAAATAACGACGACGGCGACGCAGTCCAGCGGATCAGAGGGCATAACGAGGTGGGCGAGAGCCGGGGCGCCAACGTTCGAGCTAGCGGCGGTGGCCGGGGCACCGACGTCCTGTCGTGCTCACCAATTGCTAGGATAAAGGCAGTCGTCGAACTGTCGAAGGAGGTTACAGTAGAGAGATGAAGCGAAGAGAGAGAATATTCAGATTATTTTTTTGTTTTAGATTTATTTACTTAGAGCATCTCAATTGGTGCAATTATATTAGCAATTCCATTTATTTTTTTATTGTTACTTCATTTTTTGCAATCCAACTCATCTTACTTGCATTGCACCACATCAATGCAATTAACTAGCAATTGCAACTATTTTTTTATTTAATTTATTAAAACATAAACACTCAAATAATAAAATTAATGAATAGTTTAATAATAAAAAAGATGAGTTGGATTGCATTTCATAATTGCATTATATGCAATCTTGCAAAGATGCAATTGTCATCTACATCAATGCAATCATTACACATGTAAATGTAGCTAGCGGCTAATGAATGATCAATTACCACTGCATTGAATGGAAACGCTCTGTACGACCCCTGCTGGAGTGATGACCCCGACGTCGAACTCTGCTCCGCCGGGACGGCCGCCAGACATCCCTCAGCCTGTGGCTGAGATGCAGATCGACGTTGATCAAGAGGGAGAGGTACCTCGGGTAACGTCGGAGATTCATACCTCCAGCTCTGTGGCTCCTGCAGAATTGGGAAGGATCGAGAAGGTGTTTTTCAGTGGGGGGGACCTGGAGATCTAATCAAGGATTGCCGCCTGACCTTGCCAAAGCCTTCCTATGCCACTGCGATGGCTGGCCTCGGGTCTCAGACGGGGGCAACGGCTTCACAGTGGGTTCCAGTTGGGGAACATGACATCATTACGGGTTCTTTCAATGGGGAACCTGAACTAAGGATTTCAGAAGGATTCAAAGCGAAACTCAGTGCTCCTTGGCAGAGATCCCTGGTGGTCAGGCTGCTCAGGAATTCCATAGGCTACACAACCCTTTGTAACAGGTTGCGATCTCTTTGGCGGCCTTCTGGTCACATGGAGGTCTTTGCGATGGACAGAGATTTTTTCCTGGTGAAGTTGGGGAATGATCAAGACTACTTCAAAGCCCTCTCTGACGGGCCTTGGGTGATCTTCGATCACTATCTTGTTGTTCAACAATGGACACCGGCTTTCAGGGTCACGGACAAACTTCCAAGTACGATGGTGGTGTGGGTTCAATTTCCGTGTTTTCCCGTTCACTTTTACCACAAGGACCTTCTGTTCTCACTGGGTAATCTAATTGGGAGGGCGATTAAGCTTGATTTCCACACTTTGCATCAGCAACGTACGAGATTCGCGAGGGTTGCTGTCGAGGTGGATCTGTCACAGCCACTGGTTCCAAGAATCCGCCTTGATGGGAAATGGCAGAGGGTTAAATCCGAGAATCTTCCGATTGTCTGTTTCGAATGTGGAAAGATTGGACATACAAAGATTAGCTGCCCTGTGCTCTACCCGGAACAAGCTAGCAATAGAGAGGCGGAATTCTCACCGACCCCGACGACAGCTTCCGTCGAACCTTCGTCGGAGGAAGTCTCTGGATTTGGCCCCTGGATGCTGGTCACGAGGAAATCACGCCGCAATCAACGGGAGATACCAAATCAGGGGCGTCCGGATCAGGCGGAAGGGATCAGTGAAGGGACAATCAACAAACAAGAAAGGAAAGAGGCGTCTGTGAGGAAGGAAAATGGGAAGCCACCAAATCAGGCTGGGATCAAATCTTCTCAACAGAAACAGAGTCCGCAGGCGACGCAAGGGGGAAGCTCGAGCAAGAATGGGAAAGGGGAAAACAAAAAAGGAAAAGAAGCTGTTTCGGTAGAACTGGAGGGTGAAAAGGCCTCGGGTATTCTGGGCCCGGTCCCAAGGTTGGAAAGCCCAAAATCAAGGAAAGGGTCAGCCAGCACCAAATCTGATGTTGCGTCTTCTTCTGGGCCTAAGGAGGTTGGGCCGAACGCAATTAATCAAGTTGGGCTGGTAACCCATTCAGTCAAAGGTGAAAAGGGAACCAATTTTTTTATTGTTGAGGCCCAGCCTTATGACCCCTCACCGACCAGGATAATCGACCCAGCTGCCCCCTCTGCTGTCTTGCGAACGAAACAGAGGAAGGAAAAGAGGAAAGGAGGACAGGGGAAGAACAGAGGCCAGGATAGACGGGTCTCTTTAACTCTACAACAGATTAAAGAGTGGACGGAGTTGATCCCTGAAAATAGAGACGGCGAGGCCCCTCGGGAACCTGCTCCCTCAGCGGCTGGCTTCCGCCCGAAACCGACCGACGGGAATGGCCCTCCGGCCTAGCTATGATTCCTTGCGCATCTGGCGATTTCTCCCTCTCCCTCTCCCCTCTCTCTGTCCTTGTTTTAATGTCTATTATGTCTTTGTCTACTTCTGCTAATTTTTAAATTTTTTTGTGGAATGTTGGTGGAGCGGGGGGTCGGGTTTTCTCTCGTGCTCTCAAGCTCGCCCTTCAGCTCCACAAGCCTGATATTGTGATTTTGCTTGAGCCGCAGGTCAGTGGTGATGTGGCGAATGCTGTCTGTGATAAGCTGGGCTTTCAAGATGTGGTTAGAGTCGAGGCTAATGGCAGAAGCGGTGGAATCTGGGTTTTCTGGAATTCGCAGACTCTCTCTATGCAAGTGGAATCTGATGGTCACCAGCACATCACTTTGATCTGCAGCAAGTCTAGCATGCCGAATTGGAAGCTCACTGCTATTTATGTTTCTCCGCGGCATAAGCTCCAGCACTCTCTTTGGGCTCATTTGATTGACCAGAGCAAGAAAACCTGTTGTCCTTGGATCCTTACCGGGGACTTCAATGCTATCCGTGATCCGAAAGAGAGACTGGCCATGCTTCCTCTGCTACCTATAGTAGATGCAAGCGCTTTGGGGACTGGATTAATGAGGCGGAGCTCCTTGACCTGGGCTTCTCTGGCCCCAAGTTTACCTGGTCCAGGGGGAGCACCACTGCCTCCTACAAGGCCAGTCGCCTGGATAGAAGTCTCTGTAATTTGGAGTGGAATGAAGTTTTCCCAATGACTTCAGTGACTCATCTTACTCGCCTCAGCTCGGACCACCACCCCATCCTCACCACTTGGGCAAATCAGGGAGTCTCGCACCCTACGTCTAAGCTTTTCAGATTTGAGGCAGCCTGGTTAACCCATGCTGACTTTTTCACATTTATTGAAAACTCTTGGAATTCTCAGGTTGCTTTCACTGATGCTCTGCAGGTCTTATCGGACAAGCTAAAGGGTTGGAACTCGGCTGTCTTTGGGAACATTTTTCAGAGAAAGAAGAGGTTGCTAGCTCGGATTGTTGGTATTGAGCGGCGGCAAGCAGAGTCCTTCTCCCCAAGCCTAGCAAAACTCCACTCAAAGCTTGAAGCTGAACTGGACAAGACCTTGGAACAGGAAGAGCTTGTCTGGTTTCAAAGGTCTCGGGAGAATTAGGTGAAGTTCGGCGAAAGGAACACAGCATATTTCCATCAGCTGACTAATATCCGCAGACGTAGGAATAAAATTGCAGCTCTTAAGGATGGGAGTGGAAATTGGGTTACTGACAAGCAGGAGTTGGCGGGTCTTATCTTCAGCTTTTACTCTGAGCTTTATTTGCAAGATGACTCCCCCTATGTTGATCTGCTTCCGAAAGGTGCTTTCCCCAGACTCAGGCAGGAAGAATGGTTCCAGCTCCTTCGACCTTTCACTATTATGGATATCCACAAGGCGGTCTTTGACATGAAACCCTTCCAAGCCCCTGGACCGGATGGCTTTCAAGCCATTTTTTACCAGCAGGCTTGGAAAGTAGTCGGGAAGGATTTGTCAGAGATGGCGATGTCGTTTTTTGAACATGGTTCCCTTCCCCCTGCAGTTTCGGAGTCCACTGTGGTGCTTATCCCTAAGGTGGAAGAACCGGAGTCAGTCACACAACTTCGCCCCATATCTTTGAACAATGTTAGCCTGAAGGACATAACGAAAGCGATGACGAGCCGTTTGAAGTCTGTTATGAGATCTCTTGTGTCACCTAGGCAATCCAGCTTTATCCCAGGTCGACAGACGATGGATAATATTGTGGTGGTTCAGGAGGTTATCCACTTGCTGAGAAAGAGGAAGGGGCGTAAGGGTGGTATGGTGGTGAAGATCGATCTGGAGAAAGCCTATGATCGGCTTAGGTGGGACTTTCTGAGGGACACCTTGATTGAAGTTGGCCTCCCGAGCTCTTGGATCAGATGTATCATATACTGTGTTGAGCAGAACAGAATGCGTATTCTCTGGAACGGGGAAATGCTAGAGTCCATAACCCCCACCCGTGGAGTTCGCCAGGGAGACCCTCTTTCCCCTTACCTTTTTGTGCTATGTATGGAGCGTCTTTCTCACAGAATTGATAAGGCCGTTCGAGATAAGCTATGGAATCCCATTCGCTTAGCAAAGAACGGCCCGGCTCTAACTCATCTTTTCTTTGCCGATGACTTGGTTTTGTTTGCAGAAGCGAAAATCTCTCAAGTGAAGATTGTAAAGCAGTGTCTTGATGAGTTCTGTGATAGCTCCGGTCAGCGAGTGAACTTGGCGAAGTCTATCATCTACATCTCCCCTAATATTCACCATGCTAGAGCCCAGCGCCTAAGTACCAGGGGCGGTATCCCCATCGCTACCAGTCTAGGGAAGTACTTGGGTATTCAAACCATTCATGGTAGAGTTACCAGAAGTATATATCAGGGGCTCCTTTTGCAGATCAAGAAGAAACTGGCGCCTTGGAAAGCCAGGAAGCTGTCGCTCGCTGCGCGCTTGACTGTTACCAGATCAGTTTCCTTGTCCATCCCTGTTTATCCTATGCAGACTGAACTTTTGCCTGTGAATGTTTGCAATGCTATTGATAAAATTAATAGGGACTTTGTATGGGGGAAAGAGGAGGAGAAAGGGAAGATCCATCTAGTGGCGTGGGATAGAATGGCGGAACACAGAGCTCAGGGAGGAGGGGGTCTGAGATCTATCCGGCATGCAAATCTGGCTATGCTTGCCAAAGGAGGGTGGAGGATTCTTAAAGAGAAGGACTGCATTTGGACTCAAGTCATGAGATCAAAGTATGGGCAACATCGAGAAGGGCTTGAAGTGCTTCGGCCTGTTAAGGGAAGTTCCTTTACCTGGAATAGCTTGACTAAAGCCTCAAGCCTTCTTCGAAAGGGTTGTGCGTGGAATATTCATAATGGAAAAGGTGCTAAGTTCTGGCGTGATGTCTGGCTTTTGCAGGTACCCCTGGCCGAGGTGGCTCTTCAACCGGTGACGGAGGAGATGCTGGGCGAGCATGTTGCGGACTATATTCATGAGGACGGTAGATGGGACATCAATCGTTTGGAGGATTGGCTGCCTGCCGAGGTGCTGCAAAAGATCACGGCGAACCTAGTGGATCCCCTGTCCCCGGAAGATGACACCATCCTTTGGACCGCTTCCTCGAATGGCCATTTCTCAACCTCCTCGGCCTACAACCTGGCCTTGCCCCCGAGGAATGATCCGAATGAGAAGATGTGGAAAATCATTTGGAAGCTCCCGGTTGCTGAGAGAGTCAGGGTTTTTGTGTGGCTGGTGTCTTTAGGGCGCATTGCGACTAATGTTCTCCGCTACTCCCGTAAGTGTGCGGAGTCCCCCATGTGCCATAGATGCGGGAACTATGAAGAGACCATTCTGCACGTGCTGCGGGACTGCTACCCCGCTCGCTTCTTTTGGCTGAGATGGATTCCGCAGGAGGAGCAGCAGAGTTTTTTCAGCCGCAGCCGTGAGGATTGGTTCCGGGAAAATATTCTCAAGGAGGACGCGACGGACTCTGGTATGAATTGGAACAGCTTCTTTAGTACTGCTTTGTGGCTTATTTCGAAGAACAGGTGTACAGGTTGTTTCCAAGGGCTGCACAAGGCGATGTCAGCACCCTCGCTTGCTTTCTCCATCCACCAAAGGGCTCTTTTGTGGCATACAGCTTGGCAGGCCCCAACGGTGAACTTTGGCCGCCAAGGATCCAAGCCGGAAAGGGTGGAGACGCAAATTCACTGGAGTTTTCCTCGAAATGGGTGGGTCAAGCTTAACGTGGATGGGGCATCGGTGGGCAACCCTGGGCTTGCCGGAGCTGGGGGCATTATCCGTGATGAACATGGAAAGTGGGTGCGGGGCTTTGTTGCTAAAGTGGGCGAAGCCTCTGCAACTCTTGCTGAGCTCTAGGCTGTCTACTATGGCCTCCAACTCGCCAGGAAAGCAGGATGTGCTTGTGTTCTTATTGAGTCAGATTCCCAGATGGCTATCGCTTTGATTAAGAGTCGCCATGATCCCGTTCATCCCTACGCTGTCTTGTTGGCCTCGATCCGGAGGAGCTTGGCGCAGGATTGGTTGGTCAGCATTGGACATGTGTATCGTGAGGGGAATAGAGCCGCGGACTGGCTCTCGAAGCACATTCTTGTCTATCCCCTGGGTATGCATGAACTTGTTGATCCACCGCCGGCGTTAGCTCCCATTCTTATTGATGATTGTATGGGTATTGCCTTTGAGCGTCGTGTTGTGACGCATCCTTCCCCCTTCTGTGCGGCTTCGGCCTCCCTTCAATGCAAAAAAAAAAAAATTCTACATCAATGCAATTATATAATGCAATTGCAAATGAATGTCATGTCATAATGCAATTCTAAATGCAATTCCAATGGAGATGCTCTTATTTGGGTTTGGATTTTTTTACCCAAATCCATGGATACAAGTAGGGTGGAAATCGGTACGGTATCGGTATCCCAATACCAAATACCGAAATCCCGAATACCGAATTACACCCTAAACTCAATCTCAATTCCAATCCCTATAATTTCGGCATGCCAATCCCAATCCCTAAATATTTCGGTATCCTAATCGGTACTTTGATATCCCAATCGATATTATCGAATATGAAATTAATTACATTTTTAAGTACTAATTAAATATATAAATTGGATTTGATAGTTTAATTTAGGTCAAAGAGACTAAGCAAAGAGTCTTGAGTTTGCCTAAAGCTAGGATATGGATAAGGCACTACAACAAACAGTACCTTCGGCAACGAAAAAATTCGTCGCTGAAACTCCAAAATCCGTCGCTGAAACATTCAGCGACGACCAAACTCGTCGCCAAATCCTTCCTTCTTCCGTCGCCCTAGCTTTTAGCGACGAAATTGGAGGAGAGGTGAAATCTCACATTCTTATTATTGGTAATCCTTAATTTGGCGAATTGGAGGTTGAGAGACGACTAATACTAGTATTTGCTTTTAGGGGTTATGAAAATAAGAAGAGATTAGGTGAGAAACGAGAGCCAGTTAAACTGGAAAGTCAAATTGAGTTGGATGTGGGCTTTTGGGTTGTGAAAGAGGGAGGAATGACTAAAGGTTGTATGTTATATTTCATTAATTTTTAATTTTCAGTATTTCTCGATATTTCAGTATATACCGATCTCAATCCCGTAATCCCGAATACCGAATAGCACTCCAAAATGAATCACAATCCCAATCCCTAAAAAATAAGTCGGTATTCGATAATACCAAATAGTAATAAATTCGGTACGGTATTCGGTATATCCCAAATAACGGTACCAAACTTTCAGCCCTAGATACAAGTACAACCCAAGTAAACCCAACATAATGGGCATGGGTATTGACCTAACAGGCTTTATCCATTTACATTTGAATTGGATTTCAGAGTTGGATAGTTATAAACCCATGGGTATGGGTAAAGTCTTCATCCCTGGAAGAGATTGAGTGTTACAATAGACGAATAATTGATGCATGTTGTGATTGAGCCCTAGTATGCATGATAGTACTCGAGTTTACTATCTTCTACAATTTAATAACGTATCTTTACTTTTATGCATCTATAAATTGAAAAACACCTAAACAACTTTACTCTTTTTACTTTGCTAGAAGGGAGCGAATCCCTTCTACACGTGCAGCACCGGCGCGTCTTCTCGTGCTCAGATGGTGTCCCTGCAAATTTAAGCTGTTTTTTACCTTTTCTTAGCCAAATTTTGGCACTATGATCCCCATTTTTGGATCTTTGGCAATATAGTTGCTTGTTTCTTCTTGAAGTTCAAGTCTAGTAGAAGTTAATGTTGAACTTTCCTCGTTGCACTCACAATCTATTGTGTTTTCTTGTATTCTCTAATTGCAACAAGTAGTTTTAAAGTCTTTTTGCAATAAAGTTTTGAAGAGTCGATGTGGCTTCAAGCGCTTCCTTTCGCATGACTGGTCCCAAGGTGTTGAATCATCAAATCCTCATCCTCAATTGAACTCCTCAAATACCTTTTTAAATTAATAAATTATTAATTCATCGATTAATTAACAACTACAAATGAATAATTTTCACGATCTGACTACTAATTTATAGAGATTTTAATGTATACCACTCTATACGACTCGAGGTGTAGGGTGGTAACGAGTGATAATTGGTGGTGAAAGGTGATAAATAGTAATTAGTATATTCATAATATCATTTATACAATCATTCTACACTATAATATATTCATACCACTATGAAATACTTCTATACCATGGTATAATATTATGTATCAAACATTACCACTATGGTATAGATTCATAATATATGATTATGCAATGATGCTTCTATTAAATTTAATAGAAAAAATATAACATATTAAATTTATTAGAAGAATATATATATCTATAACCTATGCTTGATTTCGACTACTAATTTATAGATATTTTACTGTATACCACTCTAAGCGCAGTGAACAAAAACCTAGTTTCCGAACAAGCCTGATCACCTCCTTAGCAAACAAGCGCCGCAACTACGAGGGAGCAGTAGATCGTCGATTGCCCCGGTCTCAAAAACAAGCATGAAAACAACAGTCAATCAGAAAGATAAGTTGAAGTTGCGTAAACTCACTCTGGGCCTTACCCCGGGTTATAGATCCTATATGCTTGATGCTCCTATGATACAATGTCCGAATGACGAGCAATAACCAAAGTAAAATCCTCTCCAATTACGCGAGCGAAAGTTTACACTGCAACATGAAGTACTACAAAGACAAGAATTCCTGCATTATAGATTCTTCTTTATCATGCTTAGTTGCTTATGGTTTCAAAATCGGATGGCTCAACCAACAACCCAAGTTAGCAGTATACTACGGTGATCATACTAACTATAATCGTCCGCTTGTAAAAATGAGGCCAAAATCATAAAAAGGGAACAAAATTTTCTTCACTGATGAATACAAAGTACAATGGTGTTCAACAGGTAGCAAATTTTCTTCACTGATGAATACAAAGTACAATGGTGTTCAACAGGGAGAAGAAGAAGCTTTATATACACCTGTACCCAGCAACTCCCTCAAGAAATGGCAGCAATCATCAACCCCCATTACAATCCTTATCCTTGTGAGTCTGCTTTCACCCAAGAAGGAAAAAAAAAAGGCAAAATTTTAACAGCCAATAACTATTTTGCTATGGAAAAGGTCAAAACAAGGAGGACCCTTCCACGTAAATGTCCCAACAATATGATTCAGCACAGTATACAAGAATGGTATTCATGGACAGTTAATAATAACAGGCAGCAGTCAGGGAGAGGCAAGGGGGAGATCTCAATTAGTCCAATTTCTTGCATTCAACAAAGCAGTCTGAGTAGAGCTGCTAATTGCAATGGCGAGGACTCGAAAAGATGAACTACTCGTCAGTAAAATCAGGACTTCTTACCTTTGACTTGGGAACCAGCGGCAGCCATTGGCCGACCATTCAAAAGAGAGATGGGAGTAAGAGGCGGGGAGAAAAAATCTTCTTCAACTGTCTCGGCTTTTTGAGTCGCTTGGGGAATTAACGACTCCCCTGGGGGATCCAATGCTACAGCTCTCTGACCACCAGGCGGTATGGACAAACTCCGGGAGACCTGAGAAGGAACCGGCAGTGGAGAAGCTACTGCTGCTGCTTGGCCTCTGGGAAATAATAATGGAGCTGAATGGCCTGCACCAGGAAAGCTCAACGGATTCCTCAGTGGAGGCCTTGGAAGCTCATGGAGTTCACTTATCCGAGGAGACGAAAGCAAAGGGGGTGAAGTACTGCTGGGAGATATGGTCGGAGAGGAAGATGGCATTTGGGACATTCGAGTCTGCAATAGCGGCCCAGATAAGACCTGAGCATGCTGGTCCAATGGAGAAGGGATGGATGACCATGATTTCCTTGCAATGGGGCCTGAAAAGGCTTGTCTTTGGCTAGTCTTGCTATATTCGGAGATTCCACGGCGACCTGGGTCGAGCCTCGAGAGCAATAACCCTTCAGCTTTTGGAGGAGTTAACCGAGTTGCTGCAGAAGAGTTGTTGTTGTTGTTCTCTCTGAGGACCGATTTTGGATTCATTTTCTCGTCTCCCAGTAGTTTTTCGTACTTCTTTGGATCATGACGATTCGAATGTGACCAATTGTAACCCCTATTGAAGGTCCGAGGAATTGGACCGCTCAAAGCTGTGGTGGGACTAGGGCCATTGGGATCATTTGGGGTGGGAAGGGCATAGGAGCTGAATTTCTTTGTGAAGGATGGCCGCAACTGTTCCAGCTTGTCAACTGAAACTGATTTCCTCACGGCAAAAAGTGGAGCTGATTGACTGGCCGTCCGAGCATCTCCTCTGAAAGAATAAGATCTGTAGCTTCTGGCGAAACTTTCCTGTGAAATACAGCAAGAAAGATCATCATAAAAATGAGGCAGCAGCCGAAACATCTCCTAAATCTAACCTACAGGTGGTAAATTTCAACCAACCCACTTAAAATCCATCTGAAAAACAAACCCATTTGACGCAGATCCATTGGGTTGGCAGGTACCACATCGTTTTGCTATAAAACTAATGCACCTCTGCCATTTTAGAATTTAGCATCCGAACTTCTTAGACCACATCAAAATATCAAGAGAATATATTACTGATTCCCAAAAGAACCCCTTTTACACCCAACCCATCTCATATACCCATGTTAATCCAACCCCTCTGCCATCTTAATTCTCAATTAATCGAACAGGAGGAGACATGGAAGTGAGACTCTTCTATCTGGTAAAGCCAAGGCCAAACAGTGAGACCTATCAACCACATTGTTCTGCAAGAAGTATTCAAAACAGATATGGTTTCTTACCTTCGCAGCTTCTGAAGTTGACACTTTGGGAAATGTAAGGCCTCCACCGTCCAACTGTAGATTAGCGGTAGATAATAGAAGTTCAGGTCAAATCCAAGGACAAAACGGAATTTAAGCATTAAACACGGATAAGAAACTTACCTCCATTGGGTCTCTTGATGTAGAAACATCACGGTCATCATCATTATGATCATACTGGAAACTAAGTTCCCCATCATCATTTGTGTCGTTAGTGTCGTTATCAGTATCATCCTCACCATCATCATCTTCATCATCAAGACCAGCAAAATGGTAGTCAATGAACTGGTGTTCAGTGACAGATTTCACATGTGGTTCGACTTCTTCAAGAGCTTTGAGAGCCTTCTTAAAGAAGGCCATCTGATTATAAACCCAAAGTGAGAAAAAGGTTCCAGAAGGGAAAGTAGTAGTTAGATATGCCAAGGGGGGAAACTAAAGACCTGTGCAGCATGGTGCCTTGCAGCCTGAGTAAGAAGACTACGGGATTGTCCTTGCTTTAAGGATTTCAACCGAAAAACAAACAAGGTTGCTTCCTCATCATATCGATCACGAGCGGCTTGCACTTGGTCGACAGAGAAGCTCTCCACCCTCTCTCCTCCTTTCCCACTCCTTCCCCTCCCTTTTTCTCTCTGCCTCATCCTCATGTACTCGTACATTTCTCTGTAGGTCAGGAGCAACATAATGAGCATAGAAACTTAGCTATGTCTTCTGGCATTTCCTATCGACATTGCTTTTGTATCTTGAATATCAAAAAATTACTAAAGCTATAACTACTGACCTTTTCTCATCACATTGCTCCTTCATTTCCTGCATGAACACAAGTGATAGAAGTTAAGAAACTAGAATCATGGCAGATAGAAACTAACAGTGCACGAAAATAATCATTACCTTCCAAAGCAAAGAATCTTAAGTAATTACAATTGAAGCAAATTATATCATATAATATAAGGAAAAGGAGCCAAAATAATCGACTCAGATCAATCCATTTTAGAAAGTCAGTTAAAGTTAAATTTTTTTCAAAAATTCAAGGGTTCTTGGAGATGTCCCATCTGGCACTGCATCCACAGTCGAGTATCAACATAAGTTTTAACATCCTCGAGCCATTCATACATGGTAAGCAGGGTTGGATCGCTTCAATATTCAATGACTTCTTAAATTCACAGTCTGGATCATCAACTTATTCTTAATCAATCATTGTCCATAATCTCTTATCCCTAACATAATGGTGGTTCACGAGTCATAACGGTCGATCAGCAGGAGTCCAAATAAGGAAGAAAGAAAAATTAGACTTTTTCTTTCTCCTATTGGTACTCAAACTACAACTAGATCTGCGAGAGCTTGATCAACTCTCCTCATGTCAAAATCTACGTTGATTACAAATCAGTAACCACAAAAGATATGATTACTGTAACCAGACCACATTTCTATCACCAAAAGGAATGGGAACGGGTTTTTAAGATACCAGAGAAAAAATACAGACCTCAACTGTTTGAAGCTCATTCAGAAGAGACTCGGATGGCACAGTGATTGTTTGGAACACATGAGCACGCTGAAACATAAGAGCAGTGATTCATTACCAGACAGGACAAAGCAGAAGACAATAAAATAAACCTTTAGTCAGCAATTTAAGAACTCACATAGACATCAACAAGTTTCTGGAGTTCAAACTGCACTTTGCCCATCATCAACAATACTTTACCTGCACAATACAGTGATGTAAAAATGGTATTAGAATTCTTCCCACACTGTCACCCTATAAGAGGCCAGGTTACCACATCACCATGTTGAAGTTTCAGCTTTCAAGAGGGCCTCCAAGCTAACTCACCACTTTCCTCATCATCATTTAAAGCAGTTTTCTCAAGAAGGCAGGCACCCATCTCTCGCAAGGACTCCGAGAATTCTGATGAAAGGAGTAAGAATCAATAACCATTTCCAAATTCACAAACAAACATAACAATCGTCAAAGAAAGGGTGGAAACTCCGCAAGCTATATTTAAACAAGAGAAAGATGAAAGAGTACCATAAGCACTGTTAGCTGTTGCTGCCGCAGCAGAGAGTAAGCTGTCATAACACTCTCTCATGTCTTGCATATCCTGCAAAGAATTGAAGCCAAAAAACCCAAACAAGAACTAAGTTATATGAATTCAATTCAGAAAAAGGAATTGAGATCAGGCAATGTAAGTCAACCAAGAATCAGCATCTATCTCTACACTAATTCACCAAGTATCCCTTCCAAATCGTCTTAATCCAACACTTCCATATCTCAAAACCACCACGAGTCAACTCCCTAGAACATTACAACCTCGTTTTTTCATGGAAGCAAACTAGTAAAAGAGAAAATGGCGAGAGAAGGCAAAATCCCGCTATACAACCATAGAAGCAATCTAGCGTCGGGAATACACGGAAAGGAAGGAAAACCTGAGAGGCACGAGCTAGTTCGCCCAATTGCGCCAAGGAGCGAAGATCTCGCCCGTCCCTACCGGCGGCATCGCCGTTGTTATTATGCTTTTGAAGAGCCCCTCGCAATAGTTTGAGCGAAGTCCTCATCCTACTCGTCGCCACCGCCGCCGTTGACGTGGCGAGTCTCTGCTGTCCTCGTTTGCCGCCGGCGAGATTCGGTTTATCTGGCGGAATTGGAATGCGAGGGAGAAGAGAGCAGTGATCAGAAGAAGAGGAACGGAATGGAAATGGCAGGTAGCTGCTCCACGTACATTCCTCTTCTTCCTCCTCCTGCTCCTCCTTCTTCTTCCTTGTCCACGGTCTTGCGGCGTTTTTCCTTTTGCTGTTTCGTCGTCGTTGCGTCACTACCACCACCAAATATAACTGCCTAAAAAACTCGATTTTTACCGGCCTCCAGCTTTATTAATAATGATGGTTCGGTTCCTTTTTTCAAGTTTTATTATTAACATAATTAATTAATTATAATAATAGATACGTTCATTATTATTGTATTAACGAAATTAGGTGGAAGTTGAGCGTTTATTGACTAACTACAACACTTGCCTGTTATCTTCTTTCCTTTTCCTTCCTCCGTTCCCTTCCTCTACAACAACCTTCTTTCATTTTTCGTTTTTTTTTTTCAGGTTTAGTTTATTATAGTTGTTAATTATTCTTTTGTGGGAAAAAAAAAGTGAATTACACCATTGGCCACTATATTTGTCCACGATTAACGTTTCAGCCCCTAAGTTAATAAAAAAAAGTCACATATATATTCTAATTAGCTAAAATGACGATAGGGCGATATACCTTAGTACCCATATACCTTAGAGTTAAAGTATATGAGGTAACATGTCTTTAAGTAAAAGTAACTTGAGTAAAATTTATATAAATGTTAAATGTAAAACAATTCGAGAATGAACTGATATAAGTCATGGTAGATCAACAAGACTACAAGAGGGGTTATCCACGACTCATCTTGAAAGCCCCCCTTCAAAACAGACAAAGACAATTCGAGATTGTAATATTTGCAATTAGCTAAGTAGAATACCTATTTTACTTCATATTCAATTGCAACTTAGACACAATTACACGTAGAGATGACAAATGGATTGGATTGGTGGATCCATGGATCAAATGGATTGGTGGATTCATAGATTGGATCAAGTGGATTAGTGGATTATCCATGAATCCGAATGACATCCTCAACCAAGGACCAATATGTAAAATGTGAAAAGTTTAGGTGCTAAAATGTCATAATGAAAAATTTTAGGTACCAAAACATAATTTTCCAATGATATTTTTTGTGTAAAAAATTAAGTTTTAGGTACCAAAATGTAAAAAATTAACCGTAATTTGCCAATGATCCATGGATCCAATCCAATTGTATTTGGATCAATTGGATTGGATTTAAATGGATTGGATTAGGTGGATATTTTTAATTATTTGATGAATTGGATTGAAATTGTCACCTCTAAATTTACACTAAAACATCAAATACAAACCCTAGATTGGCATGAATGAAATTACTGATTTGTTAGATTTTCAACATTGGTAGGGTTTAAGATTACCAACAAGACAATAACTCAAATTGAATTGACCAGAAAGAAAAATGATGGAAAAGGTTTGAAGTCGTTGTCCTGTGGGGGCAAGTGGGTCAAAATGGGGAGTGGTCAACAGTCAGAATCCAAAAGTTAAGCCTCTTTATTTGGCAGAAAGATCGAAACTAAATCCAAATTTGAGAAAAAGGAAATCTTGATCCCCTTGTAAACCGTGTGGTACAAGAATATGGCCTGACAGACTCACTTTCTAAGTTTCTATAATGCAAAGGGTTGATTTTTTTTTTTTTTTATGGAAATGCAAAGGGTCGAATTATAAGCCCTTTACGGTAAGAGTACATTTTTTCTTCTTTTTAAACCAAAAGCGTGGTGAGTGATTTTAGAATTTAGAATGCAACCTAGCTGTGGGTGTGGATGGTGCTAATTAAACTTTGTAACCCACCAGCATGTTTTCGCTTTTGATGCGATGCAATGCAATGATGAATTGCATGTGCATGTGGTTAGATTTTCTTCTTTTTCTAATGATTCTATTTGATTTTTCTTTTTCATTCTATTTGAATTATTATAATTGTTTCTCAATTTGACAAAAAAATTACACGGGTATTCATTTTCTTTTGTATATTCAATGATATGACTCCAATTTATATATCCAAACTAAAATTAGTGTATGAAAATTGTTCGGAAAATAAAATCAGGTAAACATGATTTGACCCACAATAAGTTGGGTTTAGAATATACCCAAATATTAGATATGTTTTATCATCTCTAGAAAGGGGTCTCTTTATAAGGTCTACTAAATGTCGTCCTAATTGTTACTTGTTTACGTTTCTTTTTTTTTATTCTTAGGAGATAATAAACACAATTGAACAATAAAAAAGAAACAAAAATTGTCCTCTGTAGAATTCGGGACTAGATAGTGTGACAACACCCCTTGTGTTGTTATTGTAACAACACTAGTCTCCAACCAATAGGAAGCTAGGGTTGTGATGACTTTTTATTAGCTGAGTCGACCTAGTGTAAAATCAAAACAGGTGTATAATTGTCATTATGAAAAATATATTTAAATAATAAATAAATAAATAATATTTTTTTATTTTCTGCCCAAAATTTTGCTCGCCGGAATCTGGTCGACGGTCACCTGAATATGCTTTTTGTCGCCAGAATATGCTATTTCGTCATCGGAATATGCCCACCGTCGCCGGAATATGCTCATCGTAGTCGAAATACGCTTACTGGCGTCGAAATCTAGTCATCGGGGCTAGAATATGCCTATCGGCGTCGAAAATCTGCTCACTGACGGTCATCGGAGTTTGGTCAACGAACTTCGTTGACTGGTCAACGGCCAGCGCCACCGGATGTTACGGTTTGCATTGTGAGATTTATGGTTTGTTTTCTCATATTTTTGTATGCCTTTTGTGGTTTGCATTAAGAAGTTTCTGGTTTGCTTTCAAAAAATTTATGGTTTGTATTGTGAGGTTTCTGGTTTGATTTAATATATTTGTGGTCTGCATTAGGACGTTTATGGTGTTCTTTTTTGTGGTTTGATTTACTGTGTTTGTGGTTTGCATTAGGAGGTTTCTGGTGTGATTATGAAATATTTGTGGTTTGCTTTGTGAGCTTTTTGGTTTGTTTTAGGTGATTTGTGGTTTGCATTAGAAGTTTTTTTGTATGCTTTTTGTGGTTTGTTTTACCGTGTTTGTGGTCTGCATTAGGAGGTTTCTGGTTTGCTTTTAAAAATTATGTGGTTTGCTTTGTGGGATTTCTGGTATGTTTTAGAAGATTTGAGGTTTGCATTAAAAGGTTTTTGGTATATATCTGTGATTTGTTTTATCGTGTTTATGGTCTGGATTACGAGGTTTCTGGTGTGCTTATGGAAAATTTGTGGTTTACATTTTGAGATTTCTTGTATGTTTTAGGAGGTTTGTGGTCTACATTAGGATGTTTCTAGTGTGCATCAAAAAAATATTTGTGGTGTTTCTAGTTTGCTTAATAAAATTTGTGGTCTGTATTAGAAGGTTTCCGGCATCTTCGTGCTATTGATATATATATTGTCCTTCTTTTGAGCATATACATAGACATATACATAGACATCCTATTCTTATACGTTTTGGCCTAAACAATTAAGTCTCATAACATTCAACTCATTAACCATTGAACAAACAACAAACATATTCAAAATTCTACTGAAAGTACGGCGAGCTGACCTAAATCCACCTTATTCGTTAGCTACCGCCGGCAACGAAGGGTTGGGTTACCACTTAACATTGTGCATCTGTAGCGATCCCAAACATGGGACAACCTAACTACAAGTCTACAACCAAAATCAGAAAATGCAAGTTTTCATTTGGCGAACAATCAGAAATCTGTTTATCATTGCAATATTAAATATCGCTAGACGAATACTTGGATAGCTCAGTGTCAAATAGGACTAAGCCTAATGTCTTTCATTAGAGACGTGAATGTGGATCATTCAATTTTAATTAGCTCCTCCAAGTCCTCTCTGCAATTGATGTTTGGCAGCGGCCTTAGGTGCAGGCAGAGTTAATTCAACAGCGACCTCCTCTTGCTACTGCTCCCACCTTCTTCTTCTTCTTCGTCCCAATCCACCAACACTCCATCCTCCAAATCCAAATCGCCGTCTCCCAACTCCTCCCCGCCGCCGCCGTAGATGGACATCGCCATCGGCCACTAGAGCTGGGCATGCGGGCGGATCATCTGCGGTTTTGGGCCGACCCACCCGCATTTGACCCGAATTTCGTTAAGTGGGTGGGTTTGTCGGTGGGTGACGGGTTGCGCTGGAAGCCATCCGCCGAGTGGTGGGTGGGTGCGCGGGTGGGTGCGGGTGACCCGCTCAACCCAACAACAAAAAGATCAAAGTCGTTGGCGCTAGAGAGGGGAGAGTAGAGACATTAGACATAAACTAGGACTGCTCCTGGAGTTTGAACCTCAAAGCCAACCTTCCAAATAGCGATCCCCTCTTCTTCCCTTTATTTTTTCCTCTAATTCTTGTGCCTAGATCACCGCTCTTTCCTTTATGGAATTATTTTCCTTAGTTCATTGCACCTGATAATCATCTCAATTTGTAGAAAACTCTTTAAGTATAGAACTTCTATCCAATTTAAGAACTAATTCGACATTTTTTGCCCTATTTCATCTTCTTGTTTCCCCCAATAACTCTCTTCACCTATTATCATGTCAAGTTGACTCCTTTATATTATGTACATTGTGATGTGGGTGAACCCACAAACCCACCCGCCACCATCCGCCCGACCCAATCCGAGACTAAATGTGGGTGGGTGGGTGGTGGGTTAAAAGTTATCAATCCGTTTAAGCGCGGGTGAGTGCATTTTATGGTCAAAATCCACCCGACCCACCCAATGCCCACCCCTATCGGCCACTCCTCGGACCGCTACAGTAGTGCCCTCACCGGAGAAGACTCTGTTCTAGCCATTTTCACCGATCCAGTCTCTATTCTTGTCGTCAGTCCAATCATCATCGTTTACAAAATCTAAATTGCGAATTTGAGGGGAGACAGAATTGAATCAAAGATTGCGCCTTTGAAATCGATCGATTGGCGTCGGCACCAGAAGGAGGACGATACATCTTGGATGGAGGAGGATTGAGTGGTGGCTGAAGAGAATTGAGCGGGCGGAAGAGGATTGCCGCCGGCGCTGGAGGAGAGACTGTGGAGAGAGGCGGAAGAAATTTAATTAGATTTTAGGTAAGTTTACCCTTATACCCTTAATGAATCCTGTTGTTGGTGTTGTTATACTATCCGAGCTCGTCGAGTTCCAACCATGACGTGCTCCCACCTGCTCCTGCTTGACCGAAACTTCTCTTAGAGAGAGTCATCGCCTGATCAAAACTCTTGTTCAGCATCATCGTCTTCTAATGTAGAAGATGTGTAGGATATATTTGTTTTTAAATTTTTGTTTTATTTCAAGGACGAAGATTAAGCAATTTCTCATTTTAAGTTAGGATGATATTAGTAATATCAGTGTCATGTTTAGTCGTGGAGTATTTTTCTTTTTTCTTTTCTTAGCAAAATCAAACTAGATGAATATTATGACGAATATAAGGCTTGCAAATGTTAGTGTTTGGCTTCCACATATTTGTGCCAACTTCATGGACATTTGATACATTCCAAAATGTAATTAGGCACTAAAAGAGTGGTTAATAAACTTAGCAATAACGGAGTGAAAAAAGCATAACTTAAAAACCTGAATCTCGAACCACCTCAAAACCAACATCGCCTATGAAAAAAACTTGTTAGGGTACAATTTAGTCAAGGAAGGGCCATTCGCCACTGTTTTCAGTCATGGGGAAGATGCTAATCGAAGAAGAAGCTAGGTGCTCATGTCTTGAACCAGACACAACCCATACCCATGAGACTCGACAGAGTCCAACTAGTCTCCTCGTTTGTTTCTTCTCATTTGTTTGGTACTGCTTGCAAGAAAATTCTTCCCTTGGTTCCTTTTTCTGTTTCTTCCGTCAAACTCTTCGCCACATGAAATGGAAAAGACCGATAAACTAAGCTTGAAAAGACTGCATGTTACATGTTACAACTTACATTTCTGTCTGTTTCTTCCCTTCGTCAAATGCTTGCATGTTACAACTTACACGGCAAAGAAAAGACTGCAAATGAACTAAGCTATAGAGTTAGCAGCCACGCAGAAAAGGAATGGAAGTCTTGGGGAAGGGGCAAATCAATCATATAGCCTATTTAGAACGTTACCCCTAACCCCTTCACTCTAGTCAACGATTTGATTCAACTGCCGCTGGATCCAACTTTGGTCTCCACTTCACCCCACAATTTGCTTGCTGCTTATGTAAACAAACATACGGCCACCAGAAAATGAAATAAAAGTCTGATATTATATAATGGTGATGAGCTCCATCACATTCTCTTATCTGCATCACGCGTCATTACACCCGTCATCTCCAAAGGCTTCTTTGTTTTTCTTACACGATTCATTAGATATCTAGATACAGGTAAAGCCGGAAAAACAAAAGGATTTATTATTCTCTCTTCTGATGCTGCAGTCTAGCTAGACTATCTCCCGCACGTGTGTGTATTATTTGATGGCTGCTCCATTCTCCTTCCTTCACCCTTCCTCCCATCTACCAGGAGGAGGGAGAATCTGAGGATGAGATGACGGCCAAAGCTATACAAATCTCTCTGTGTACCTGAACAAACAAAAGTCAGATTTAGTCTCTGTTTTCTTTGTGTCAACCATATCCTAGACCAAAGACCATGTGTTTTTACATTTTAACGACGGAGACGACAAGACCAGGTAAACAGATCAGGTCAAGGCACAATGAAACAATGTACCTAGACTTGGCGGTAGCCGGTAGGCTATGGTGGATTGGGACATTGTGGATAACATGATTGCGCTAAACAGCAAAATCACTAATCTAATGAACACTGCTGAACAAGTGGATTAGGTTCTGGTCTAAACTTCTACAGTTCATATAGACAGTCACGAGACGGGTCACTTTGGGTCATGAGTCATTTTGGCCAGGCCAGAGTAAGAACATAGGAACTAACCTTTCGTTTTAAAAAAGCGATGTCATGGCTCAAATCCATGCCGACTCAAGCAGCTGCAGCCATTGGAACCGACCTGTAGCAAGCCCTTTTTGCTGCACGAACAATGTCCTCAACCTAGAACAAATATTTCCACAGGCCGCCACAGCATGAACAATCTGATGCTTGTGCATCGCAAAAGATCCCAAGAACCCATAATTTGACATGAGAAACCATTAGATGTATATACCTGTGGGAGCGCCAACCTCTCTAAATTAGCTGCATATGGCATTGGAACATCAGCCCCGGCGATCCTCTCCACTGGTGCATCCAAATAACCGAAACTCTCCTCAACCACAGATGTGCTGCGGAGAGAATCAATGCCAGACATCCAACAACATTGTTAACCAAGCTTAGGATATAAGCAAATGCAACAAAAGAAAAAAGGATAGTAAGACCAACCAAATCTCAGCGCCAACGCCATGCTGAGGAAACCCTTCTTCGACAGTCACCAGTCGGTTGGTTTTCCTGACTGAAGCATTTATCGTGGCTCGATCTAATGGCCTAATTGATCTCAAATTTATCACCTGTGGAGAAAAAAAGGATGGGTTTTCTCAGTTCCGTATGACAAAGTCAGCAATCAGCAGAAAAGAGTTGTAGTCACTTTAGTGCACTCGAGTTACCTCAGCGCTGATTCCTTCCTTGTCAAGTATCTCAGCAGCCTGCACATATAGGTACAAGATTAGGACAAGTTATGAAAAGATAACGGGGAAGATTACAAAATTTTGGACAGAAACCTTGAGAGCAAAGCCAACCATCTTTGAAAAAGCTGTGATAGTCACATCTTTTCCTTCCCTCTCTATCTGTTGAAACAAAAAGCCAAATGCTATTGTAAATGGGAAGACAATTACAATGAACATTAGAACATGCCACAAAGACAGAGGAATAACTTGTCCACACCATTACCTTGGCTTTCCCAATAGGAAGAGCAAAGTTGGAATCAAGTACTTCAGCGGAAACAGGAAATGCCTCACCATACCTAAACCACGGTATGCCAATGAGTTTCCACAGAAGACATACCAGTATAGTGAACGCGAATTTAACTTACAGCAATTCATTCACAGAAAATAACAGGATCCGGGTCTCTTACTGCAGTGAACGAGAATATAACTTACAGCAATTCATTCTCGAGGAAAACAACAGGATCTGGGTCTCTTATTGCAGCTTTGAGCAGTCCACGTGCATCTTCTGACGAATATGGCGCCAGCACTTTCAACCCAGGGCAGGATGCATACCATGATGCATAACACTGCACACCAAGTGATACAACTATTGAGTCTCAATCTCTCATCTTGCTACTGCCGCTGAGAAATCGAAAAATAACCAAGAACATGTCGATATTAAAACCAGTACCTGAGAGTGTTGAGCGCCGACTCCAGCAGCAGCACCATTAGGTCCTCTGAAGACTATAGGCACAGATATCTGTCCAGTTGACATGTAATACGTCTTTGCAGCAGAGTTGATGATATGGTCAATCGCCTGTGTAGAAATCAAAACAAGATAATAAGTTTTTTTCAACAAGCATCTACCATATAGCAGCAAATCATTAAGTAAACTATAAGAAAGTTTTAGACCTGCATTGCGAAGTTAAAGGTCATGAACTCGACCACAGGGCGGAGACCATGGTAAGCAGCACCAACAGCGATTCCGGTGAAACCAGCCTGGTAAAGGTAGAGACCAAATACTAACAATGATTAAATTAGAAACCAAAGGCAATCCCTAACTTATCAGTGTGAAGTTCATCAAAGACTAGCTAACCTCTGTGATTGGGGTATCGAGGACCCTATCAGGTCCGTACTTATCCAGTAGCCCTTTCGTTATCTATGAAATATTTTAGGGAATTTCAATCAACAAAGCTTAATTATCCCATGAAAGATGAATAGTCAATTCCAGTAACAAAGTTCTGACCTTGTATGCACCCTGATACTCTCCAACCTGAAAATTGAATGTATGATTAAGAACCTGTGAAACCCCAAGTGCAGAAACTATAAAAAGAGAACTTCATCAAAAGATGGGTTATCTATGTTGTTACCTCTTCACCCATTAAAAGCACACGTGGGTCAGCTGACATTTCCTCATTAAGTGCAGAGTTCAGGGCTTCTCTTACAGTTAACTGTTTTGCAGAACATCACCATTTTTCATCACCGAAATGCCAAAATCCACAATCAAGTGAAACAAGCTCACAACTTCCCTAGTTAATAATAAAAAATATAAATCCTAAGAAAAAGAAATAAATAAAGAGAAACGGAAATTCTTACATCTTTTGCAGCGGAAGCGAAACATCTCGAAGCCGAAGCAACAGCTCCAGGGCGAATCCCCTGCTGCAGCAGCGACTGTCCCAAAACCTTGGGAGGTAAAGAAAACAGAGGCGTTAGACGATCAAAGCCATATACGAGTATTCGACTAGCAAATAATGACGTTTAATCGGGACTCACACACCCTCTGCGTGAGAATCCTAAACATCTTCTCGTGCTCCGACGCTGCCCTGCTGCAGTAGGACAGAAAACCAGCAGAATAGTGAGGATCGAATTGGAAGAGAACGAGATCTAATCAAGAGAGGGGCTCAAACCAGATTAAGAATCTTCTACTCGGTGGGAGATGTTTGAAGGAAGGACGGAAAGTGGAAGCGGCCCGGTTAAGCCAAAAACCAGCACTTGTCACTCACTCGGATCTTCGCTATAATTATCTCCTTTCCTTTCCTTTTCCCGGTTTGGTTTGCGACTCTCTAGAAGAATAAAGCGCGGCTTGCATGGAGCATGGACACGAGTACACTTTTACTTTTACAGCCCGGAGGGATTCTTGGTCCCAAAATTAGAGCAAGTTCGAACCCAAAATGAAGACTGGAATTTAAATCAAATTATTTTGTATATAATAATACATATTGTTCATTTTAAAATTTATAGATTTAGGAATTAAAATTAATTCGAACTATATTAGCTTAATGTGTATGAAAAAAATACATGATAACCACGAGTATATGAAAGTTGAAGCAAAGAAAACACACAATTTCGTTTCTCTTTTCCAGTCTCGGTATACTATGTTCTTCTGATTTTGATTGATTGGGGGGAGTAAACACTTTCTATGTACAATTGTACAAAGTACGTCAATTCACATCCTAACCACCAAACATGCTTTAATGAACAATTAACTCTCATGGTTGAGCTTGGGCCATTATTAATTGAATGGGCCAGTCTTGAACCACTGTCGGGCTTCGGCCCAACCCAACTGAATGAAAAAGGAACGAGACGCATTGTGCTTGATCCATTTTAGCTCTCGCGACTATACATACAATGCAATTGCAAACCACCATCTATCTCCCACCACAAAATTGCTCAATCAGCTCCAAGTCCAACACATGAAAAAAAGAAGAATAGAGGTAGTCAGTAAGTGCTCTATACCAACTTCTTACTTTGACATGTACATCTATATATTAGACGGTCATGAATTCTACACAAAGTACATTTCTTGTCACTTAAGATACTTAACAACAGATATCATGAATCGATATGGAAAACTGATAAACAAATCATATCAAACAAATCAAGTGTGTAGATAACATACATGCAACATCATCATCGTCGTCTTCTTAGATTGAACCCATATTTTCCCAAACCTTCGTGTACACAACAATCAATCATCAGTGAAGAGATTGGAACCGTAAGAGAGTGTTTAGACGCACACAGCGTGGCACCATCACCCCTTCTAATGCACACATTTAGCAACAAAGTTTGGATGGTTCCACGTTAATGTACGCCTAAACCCTACGGCCCTTTCTTGCTCCTTGGCCCCAATCTGATCTCCCTCTCGTTACATAGATTAGCTGACATATATTTAAAGCCACTTGTTACATTTATTTTGCATGCATCACTCTAGTCTAGGCTAGGCTAGGGTTTATATATACACATATATAGCTAGGGATCTTTCTTTGGGACTAATATTAGTAAAGAGGTGGCCGCAGGGGCGATAGAGGCAGGCATCTACGTGTCATTCCAATTCACGTTTTAGTTCATCCACGTGGACGTGGTTGAAAGGATTGTAGGGATATTATTGTTGTGTGAAAGCTTACTTGATTGTATTAAATTTACAGTAGGTGATTTATACAAGATTCATGCGGAAAGAAAGTAGTGGAACCCAACAACCTGGATATCCCACTTAGCACGTCCCAGGGAAGTAGCAACAGAAAAGTGGAGTGGGAAAAAGAAGAAAATAAAAAATTCTTTTATATTTCTGTTACTTCTCTAATACGCCCCCGCAAGACGGAGGAGGTATCAACGATGCCGATCTTGGATCTGAGGAGAAGAAACCGAGTAGTCGAAAGAGGTTTGGTGAGAGCATCAGCAAGCTGATGAGCAGTGGGAATATAACAAACTCGTAGTCGACCAGCGTGCACAAGTTGACGCACAAAATGATAGTCCAAGGCGAGATGCTTCATGCGGGAATGGAAGACCGGATTGGAGCAGAAGTAGGTAGCACCAAGATTGTCGGAGTACAGTGTCGGCGGTGCGGGAACTGGCTGACGAAGCTCAACCAAGAGATTCTGAATCCACTCAAGTTCAACAGTAGCATTAGCGATGGAACGGTACTCGGCCTTTGTACTGGAACAAGAAACAGTCCTCTGTTTCTGAGATAAGAGTGGAGCCCAAGTAAACAAGGTAGCCAAAGGTAGAAGAACGATCATCTAAATTGCCTGCCCAATCCGAGTCGGCGAATGCAGAGAGATGGAGAGGTCCCATAGCACGGCGAATAGCCAATATGTAGGAGAGAGTGCCAGAGATGTAGCGAAGGAGGCGCTTGACACATTGCCAATGAGAAGCCGTCGGAGCATGCATATATTGAGAGAGTTTGTTGACAGAATAGCCAATGTCAGGACGAGTGTAGACGAGATACTGCAGAGCACCGATAACCTAGCGAAAACGAGTAGCGTCCGTGGGGGAAGTACCATCATCCAGAGTAAGAGTAGTAGAGGCAGCAAGGGGGTCGGAGCAGCCTTGGCATCGGCCATCATAAACCGATGAAGAAGATCAGTCATATACTTGTGTTGGGAGAGAATGTAGCCAGTACTGGTAGGGAGAACCTCAATGCCCAAGAAATAATTAACGTCACCGAGCGCCTTGAGCGAAAACCGACTCGAGAGAGCAGCCTGAAAGGATGTGAGAGTCTCCTCATCATTTCTAGTGAGGAGCAAGTCATCGACGTAGACCAAGAAATAAAGGAGAGTAGTTCCACGAGAGTAGACGAAGAGAGATGCATCAGACTGAGTCTTTTGAAACCCGAATTCTTAGAGAAAGTCACTCAAGGAAGTGTACCAAGCCCTGGGTGCCTGGCGAAGACCATATATAGCACGACGAAGACGACAGACATGATGCGAATAAGAGGGATCGACAAAGCCCTAAGGTTGCTCCATATAAACTTCCTCGTGTAGTGGGCCCTGGAGGAAAGCATTATCAATTTTTCGAATTGAGAAATCGACCAACCATAGGAGAGAGCCAAGGTGAATACTGTGCGGACACTGACAGGTTTGACAACCGGACTATACGTATCGGTGAAGCCGAGACCCGGACGCTGAAGAAACCCTTTAGCCACCAGGCGAGTCTTAAACCGTTTAATAGAACCATCAGAATTGTGTTTGACCCGATAAACCCAACAATTGCCCAAGACATTATAATGTGGGAGACGCGGAACAAGATCCCACGTGGAATTGGCAATTAGGGCCTAGTTCTTAGTTGAGAGGGTAGCGGACCACTCAGGATAGGAAAGAGCCTTAGTTATATTTCTAGGCTGCAAGGGTGGAGGCCCGCGAGAGAGCTGAGTGATAAAGAGGCGCTTCTTGGGCCGAAATATGCTTCGCTGGGCCCTGGTGGTCATCTGATGAGTCCGCAGAAGCGGAGGTGGGCCAACAGGTGAGGACGACAACACTGTGAGCGGGGTAATGGGCCCTGAGGAGAGGGGAGACTAGGCCCGCCCAGATGATGGCGGAGATAGCCCGGGTTGCGAGGAGGAGGGCCCAAAGGGGGCAGGAGGCCCAGGCGTTGATGAAGACCCTCGGACGGGGGAAGAGGCGGCCACGGGAGAGGGTGGGCCTGGAGAAGGCCCAGGCGAAGATGCATCAGAGTGACAGGGGAGACTGGAAATGGTGGGCTCGAGGCACAGCAGCCAGGAGTCAAGCATGGGCGGATCGGTGCGAGAGTCATCATCAGGAACACCTGGAAATTCAGTCTCAACAAAAACAACATGACGGGGATAGAAAGATACGATGAGTAGTAGGGTCGTAGCAGCGATAAGCACTATGCTGTGGGCAATAACCAAGAAAGAGACAAGGTCGAGAACGAGGGTCAAGTTTAGTGGGTGAGTAAGGGCGCAACCAAGGATAACAGAGACAACCAAAAATACGAAGTTTATGATAATTAGGAGATAAATTAAACAAAACAGTATAGGGAATTTGACCACTTAAGGCAGAATAGGGAAGGCGATTAATTAGGTAGATAGCAGTAAAAAAAGCAAATGACCAAAACGAAGTCGGAAGTTTAGAATGATGGAGAAGGGTGATACCGGTTTCAACAAGATGACGATACTTTCGTTCGGCGAGACCATTATGTTCAGGAGTGTGAGGAGGAGTGAGGAGATGGGTAATGCCACTGTCAAGAAGAGCATTGCGAATTTTTTGAAACTCGCCCCCACCGTCTATATAAAGACAACAGATTGTGGTAGAAAAATAATTTTCAACCATTTTTTGAAAATCGAGAAAAACTTGTAGGACATCAGATTTACATCGTAGAGGATAATACCATGTATAACGAGTAAAATGATCAACAATAATCAAATAATAACGAAAGCGATCAATTGAAGAAACCGGAGCAGAGCCCCAAACATTAGTATACAAAAAATCAAAAGGGCGACTGCTAGTCAAAGAGGAAATAACAAATGGGAGTTTGTGGCTTTTATTGGAAAGACAGGAATCGCAGCAAGAACTAGTTACTGACGATGAAACAGGTAGAGAAAAAGACTGAATGAGACTAATAAGTGACTGATGAGATGGATGACCCAGCCGAGCATGCCACGATGCAGCAGACGTCCTAGTGGCAACCAGAGCAAGCCGAACATTTTCCACCTCCAGCGGCAACTCATAAACATCACCGTTGTTTACCCCCTTCAGCAGCTGCGCCCCCGTGCGAAGATCCTTCACAACAAAATGAGTGGCAAAAAATTCCACAGAAACCAGATTAGTCTGAAATAACTTGGCAACCGAAATAAGATGTTTCTTGATGTTGGGAACACATAATATATCACTCAAATGAAAATGAGTAGAGCCAACTGAAACAGTTGAAGAACCGATATGTGATATCGCCAAACCTGATCCGTCACCAACTAGAATTTCATCCGGACCCCGAATAATCAGAATAAATAGACAGATTGCCTAAATCCGACGTGATATGGTGAGAAGCGGCCGTGTCCATAAGACACAGCCTAGTGGGAGAGGCAGACAGGCCTGCAGCAGCTGTGGTGTGATGCATTTGTGCCTGACGGGCCTGATGGAAGGCTTGACGGGCCTGGGGAAATAACTTAAAGCATTGTTTGACTGAATGCCCAAGCCTGTCACAGAATTGACATGACATGTGACTTGGGCTCGACGCAGACGGGCCAAATTAGAAGATCCTGGGCCACTGAGGGGTAAGTTGGACGAACGATGCTGTTGGGCCTGAGAAATTTGGCCGGCTTCAGGGAACACTTGTTGCACGTAGTTCCTTGGCCGAGAGAGTGCAGAGCCGCCGCCTCCACCTCTGCGAGACAGCCCCTGTGTGTAAAATGCCGTAGGAACAGAGGACAACCTCGATTGCTCCATCAAATTCGCCTCGTACTCAACAAGGGAGTCCAGGAGATCTTCAATTATAACAGTGGATCCTCGAGCACGGACAGCGGCAGTGAAAGAGTTGTAGTCAGGGCCAAGACACCTAAGGCAATGAACGACCAAGTCCAAATCGGATACAGGGTCATCAACGAGCGCAAGCTCTGCTGCAATTTGCTTTAAATCATTAACAAAGGAGACAACATCACGATCGCCTTTGACTATACGACTCATCTTCCCTCTCAGATTGATGATGCAAGATTGGGAGCGACCAGCATAAAGCTTTTCCAGAATTGACCATGCTTCACGAGATGTTTTTGCAGCAGAAACATAGGAGTACAAAGACTCAGAGATAGAGCATCTAAGTGCATGGAGAATGAGATTATCTTGTCGAAACTAGCGATGATAAGCAGGATTGGGCTTGGTGACGTCATTTTTTGTGATCGTTTGAGCAGGGAAACACCGGTGCCGTCGATGTAACCAATAAGATCCAAACCCATGAGAAGAGTCTCCAGCTGTGATCTCCATGAATTAAAATTGGTCGGCGTGAGTTTTAGCGGCAGCTGAGCAGTAGGATTAAAAGTAACAATTGCATCATCAGAGGATATCGAGCCGCTTGAAATATTGGAACCAGACATACTGCCGAAGGAAAGAATGAAGAACAGAGGAAGAATGAAAAATGGAGAATGGATCGAGTCAGTTGATCTTGACTGGCTCTGATACCATGAAAGGATTGTAGGGATATTATTGTTGTGTGAAAGCTTACTTGATTGTATTAGATTTACAGTAGGTGATTTATACAAGAGTCCTGCGGAGAGAAAGTAGAGGAACCCAACAACCTGGATATCCCACTTAGCACGTCCAAGGGAAGTAGCAACAGAAAAGTGGAGTGGGAAAAAGAAGAAAATAAAAAATTCTTTTATGTTTCTGTTACTTCTCTAATAGTGGTATCACAGTATATATATCATAGTGTAATTATATATTAATGATCGAATTTATTTAATTATATCCAATCTCTATCCTATAAATAACCGGTGCAGTTCGCCCTCTCATGCCGCATGCAGCTGCCTTTACATTGGGGGTTCCATTTGTCTATCCTCTTTGCCAACACTTGGCTACTAGCCTGGTCTCTATTTTTTTTTCTTGCCGCCGAGGTATCTTAAGATAAACCAACACTACTGTCTACCAAAAATACACCTACCCCCCAAGAAATGGGTACCTCCATATTATACTAATTAAATGTGGGTTCTGGTTTTTATGGGATTATAAAATAAATTATTGTATTTATCCTGATCGTTGAGATAGATGTGCATGGTAGTAGTTATTGTACCAATTTTTTTATATATACAACATATACCAAATTTTATTTGGTGTATGATACAACCATCCTACTAAATATACAAATAATAACAGAATTATTTAAGTAAAGTGGCAAAATCAAACTAAATTAATTTTGTCCAAAATTGCATTTAATACCTGAATTTCCTACCCTAGACGAAACAATTCAGACACATCAACTGTGATACATACATCAACTGTGCAAAAAAAAAAAAGGGGGGGGATGCGAGAAGCTCTCTCCTCTCTCCTCTCTCTAAGTGCCGTAATCGGCCGCTTGCTCTGGGCGACGTTAATCGTCATCCTTTCGTCCAGTTTGATTAACCAGGTCCGATGCCGCCACCATCCTCTGTTTGGTGATTTTCGGATCCGTGAGGGGGGAAAAGGGCGGTACCGGCGTTGCAGGTCGGCGGCGCGGAGAACCTCGGCTGCAGATCCAAGTGGTCGGATCGATTGTATGCCCCTCCGCCGGGTTCTCGCGAACCGAAAAAGGAAAAGAATGGAGGCGCTAAGTGAATATGTAGAGCTCTCCTTTGTGATTTCAGTTAAAAGATGCCGTAAATTGGCTCTGAAGGGGTGGAGATTCTGGCTCCCCCCTTCGTCTATGTTGGACGGAGATGTCCTGTCTCAGCGCTCAATTCCGAAGGTGAATGAGCAGCATACTCAACCCGAAATGGGACCAATGAAGAATTCTTGCGGTTCTGGTCACGCGCAGCCCTTTGGGGATGATGGGCTTCCGAAACCATCTGGCGTTAGTGATCGAGACCCTCCTGCCGGAGATAGGAGGCCTTCACCGCCGGCGATAAGCTCAAGGAACCTAGGGGAGTCCTCTGATGCCGTGTTTGGATCGGAATCTTCTTGTACCAACTTGAATTTACAATCCCGTGTTGTTCGCCCAATGTTAGTTACGGCGGTGGGGAAAATATCCAGGCCTGGTATCCCTGTTTTTGGGACTGGGCAACTGCTCGGGATTATCTTGACAAATATACGAGAAAATCAATGAAAAAAATAAAGGAGGATTTCCAGATCCTAACTGATTTAGGGACTCACAGTCCCTTTCGAATTCTAAGAGTGGAAGGGAGCTGGCAGGTTGGGAGGGCTATAAAAGGAGCTCGGAATCTTCCCTTCTCACATAACTCTTGCCCCCAAACCTGGTTCTGCTGTAAATCGGCTCTGCTGCGTGGTAAAGAAACTCGAGAAGCGCCGCTCCAACCTGTGTCCTGCAACAAAGATAGTACAGGTATGATGAATATGTAGTCAAGTTCATCCCCCTGTCCTGTATTGACATATAATCCCTCTCTGCTATCTCAAAGTGATTCAGTGTTCCTCCCTATGTCGTGTTCCAATCACGGCCAAGCAACCGAATCCTTGGTGCCGAGCCATTCGCTTAACTTTCCTCAGTCTATATTGCAGGGGATAACGATGGCTCGTGCTGCTGACGATCAGGTAGTGGAGTTCTCCATGGACGAGGTCCAATCGACCAAATTCCGTGCTTCTCGGACTCTGTTGGGAAGAATGTTTTCTGGGAATCAGCTAACAACCATGGAGCTCAAGGATGAGATGAGCGAGGCATGGCAAATGCGAGGACAACTTCGGGTCCCGTACCAATCACGGGCTAATTGAGATCACCTTGCCTAGCGAGGAATCAAAAATTTGGGTCTTGAAACGGACACCTTGGGTGATCAAAGATAAACTGCTAAACCTTCGATCCTGGACGCCTATGATCAACAAGCAAATTTTCGATGATCTGGCTATCGCTCCTTTCCGCATCCAGCTCTGGGACGTGAAGGAGGGTTGCTGTACCAAGCAATTCGGAAAAAAATTAAGTACTCCCACCATTGGCCAGGTCTTAGAAACTGGTGTCTTCGCCTGCAAGGACTCGGGAGAAAGCTTTGTGAAAGTTTGTGATTTGGTGGACTTTTCTAAACCGTTGAGGTCCCAACTTATGGCAGTCAGTGAGGAAACCGGGTATTTATGGGTTCGGTTGAAGTATGAATTCCTCCCAACCTTCTACTACCATTGTGGCCGCTTGGGCCATGCGTGTCGAGACTGTTCATTTGATCCTCCAAAGGGTAAGGAGAAGTTCGGCCCCCAAATGTCTACTGGGAAGACAGGGCGTAAATCTATGAGTATGAGGAGGAAAACTCTGGTTTTCATGGTACTAGAAATACGGTTTGGATCAACAGATAGGTTCGGCCGCAGGTGGCGAGCTCTGGAATTGGGAACAATAGCAGCGCTTCGGGCTCGCATGCTGGGGAGTTTGGTCCTCAACACCGGACGCCAGTCCATGGAACCGAGCAGGCCCACTCGAGGCAGCTGGATAATGCTACCCCTCCCAGGACCGTGACGAAGCCCAAGACCAAGGTGGCCAGCCCGAAGGGATTTCCGGTCAGAAAGTCGCCTGTTACCCTCTTTGGGGGTGGGTCGCGTAAGCTGCGGCGGCAAAGCCCTAGGCCCGGCCCTTCTCGCCCGGTGGAGCATGGTAATGGAGGCAGGCCGAGACAGTCCCAGAAGCAAGGGGTCACGTCGGCCCAGTCAAATGACCAGGTTCCTCGGGTTGTGCATCCTGTCGTGCAGACGATTCTAGAGCAATCCAGGCGCAGACGAATGATTTTGGAAGATGATTCAGAGGATGATGAGATTGTCCCGACCCGAGCTAAAGGAGCTGAACCGGCCATGGAGGAGGAACAACCGCAACAAGTGCCTGTTCGGATGCCTGGCAGTGAGAAGGTGGCCCGCGCATATGATCGGGATGACGTGCCTGCTCACATGAACGAGGGGGTCCTGCCTTCCTCTGATAAGCCGGCGCAGCAGCATATTGATCGGCCGATGACCCGACCAAAACCTGCTAAGCCAAAGGGCCAGTTGAGGCTTGCTCAGGGTGCAGAAAAACCATATAAAATGAAAGCACATGGCAACGGTAATGCGGGAGCTCAAGTTCCCACTCTCTGTCCGACGGAAAGGTCTCCCTACATCCCGACTGATGATGATTTGAAGAAAGTGGGTGATGATAACATCATGGAGGAGCACATCTGTGCAGAATCAGATTCTAAGGAAGAGGCGCCCTGCTTTGAGATCAAAAAGCGGACCCCCGCAGGTCGTGTTAAGAAAGTTGTGGCGGCCTTTGAAGCTGGCCTATCTTTGGCCCAGGAAAGTTGCTGGATTGATCCTTGCGTTGAAAAGGCCCCTAATGATTATACTTCAGGGGAGCGACATATGAAAGATGATGGATGAATATGGTTCGAATTTGATGAACTCGGATTTTGGGTCTCGGAAACGTTTGTTGGAGCATATAGGAGGCGATCTGGGCCTCCCCCCGGTTCTGAAAGAGCAGTTTGTGGAAGTTACTGAAGTCTATGATCAGGTGGAGGAAGCCAACTTGAGTGGCCCCAGTCGGATAAATGAGGCTTCTGGCTTGGAATGTGAGAGAAATTGGCCCGTCCCTCACATTCCAAACTACTGTTGGTCTTGTTCGTTCAAATAAACCGGATCTTGTGTTTTTTCGGAAACACGTTCGAGACGGAGAGTAGTGTCCCGCCGTTTGTGTGGGTTAGGGTTTGAGTCTTCTTGTTGTTTTTTTGTTGATGCAGTTGAAGCATCTGGTGGGTTAGTTGTCGATTGGGCCCCCAAAGTTTCTGCTTCGGTGTTTTTTCATTCAGACTTCTATGTTTGTGTTCAAGTTAATGAAATGGAATTTTCGTATGTGGTGATCTTTGTTTACATAAGTTGTAATGTAGCTCGCCGAGCTTCCCAGCTAGACCAGCTCCAGGATCTTTGTGGGGGTATACACGTCCCCTATGTTATTATTGGTGATTTTAACTCTCCATGAGGGTGAGAAGGATGAGGGAAATCAATGGAATGCCACGCAAGCGCTTAGCCTCCGTAACTTTGTCCAGCATTTGGGTCTTCTGGATCATGGGTTCCAGGGGGATCAATTCACCTGGACTAATAAACGAATGGGGGCGGCCTGTGTTAGGGAGCGGTTGGATAGAGCCCTTTGCTCGCAATCATGGCTGGATCGTTTTCCTGATACCTTGGTCAAGCACTTTACGGATCAGGGATCGGACCATCGGGCGCTCCTTCTCTCGGATAAACCCTATGTGCGAAGTTGTCGACCGCTTTTCCGTTTTGATGCGCGTTGGGCGGATAATCCGGAGGTGAAGGCCATGGTTTTGTATGTTTGGAAGGAAGATGTCCAAGGCACTCCAATGTTTCGGCTTTGGGAGCGCCTTAAGAAGCTGCGTCATTTGTTATATGATTGGAGTAGAGCTGGAACCACTAATTCCCTGCGAAATATCAGAACTCTCCAGAGCGAAATTGAGTGGATTAAACTTATTCACCCTATTGATTGGGATGCGATCCGTTGCCTAGAAGTTGAATTGACTAGACAATGGGAGGCGGAAGAAGTTTACTGGCAGCAAAAATCCAGAGTTCACTGGTTGAAGAAGGGGGACAAAAATACGTCGTACTTCCATACGGTGACTAGGACGCATCGTAAGCGGAATTTTGTGGCAGGATTAAGAGATGAGGCTGGCGAGTGAATTAATGATGAGAAAGGTAAGGCTGATATTGCTACCAATTTCTATGGCCAGCTGTTCACTTCTGAGAACCAGGTTCTAAACATGGGGGAGCGGGTTGCTGTTCTACCTATCGCTCGTAGTGTTACCCCGGAAATGAATGCTGGCCTGACGGCTGCTATCCTCCTGGAAGAGGTTCGTAAAACTGTTTTCGCGATGGGTTCTAAGAAAGCCCCAGGCTCTGATGGGTTCACGGGCAAGTTCTTTAAGGCCTTTTGGGGTATTGTAGGGGAGTCAGTGGTAGACGCTGTCTGCTCGTTTTTAACGACGAGTAGGATGCTCCGTAGCTTTAATCACACCTGGCTCACTTTGGTCCCCAAGGTGGATAATGTGGAGTTTATGAGGCAGTTGCGTCCGATCAGTTTATGCCAATTTGTGTATAAAATTATAACCAAGATCATGGCTGAACGGCTCTCGGGCCTCCTACCTCATGTTGTCTCAGCATGCCAAAATGCTTTCATTCGGGATCGCCAAATTGTCGAGAATATCCTCCTGGGACATGAGTTAATGCATTTCTTGAAAATCAAAAAGCAAGGTAAGAAGGGGTACATGGCTCTTAAGGTTGACATGGAAAAGGCCTATGACAGAGTTGAATGGCCGTTTCTTCTTGCGATTTTGGACAAGATGGGTTTTAACTCAGTTTGGCAGGGTTGGGTTCTTGAATGCCTTCGGTCCTCGTCGTTCTCGGTGCTAATGAATGGTACTCCGTCTGGGTTCAGGCCTTCGCGGGGCTTACGGCAAGGAGATCCTTTATCCCCTCTTCTTTTTGTTCTCTGCACAGAGGGGTTCGCGGCTCTCCTGTGTAAGGCGATTGCGGATAAGCATCTGGCAGGGGTTAAGGTGGCTTCGCGTGCTCCCCGAATCTCGCATTTATTCTTTGCCGATGATTCTTATCTGTTCTTGCGGGGCACTCTTCAGGAATGTGAGAATTTGATCACGGTATTGAACGAGTACGAGGAACTGAGTGGGCAGCGCGTCAATTTGGCGAAGTCGGCGGTTTGCTTTAGCAAGAATATTGCTCAGCCAGACCAGGAATTCTTAGCTGCGATACTGGGAGTTGGAGTGCAGGATAAATATCTGGGGCTTCCCACTTTGATTGCTCGTTCTAAATTAGAGACTTTCCGTTATTTGGAGGAGAAACTGTTAGAGAGGCTTCAGGGGTGGAAACGGAGGACTTTGTCATGGGCTGCGAAGGAAACACTAATTAAATCCATTGCCTTGGCTCTCCCGTTGCATGTAATGTCTTGTTTCAAGCTACCTCTCTCGTTGTGTCGCCTATTGGACAAGCATGTTGCTCGCTTTTGGTGGGGGGATGAGGAGGGACACTCGAGGATCAGATGGATGGCCTGGCGAGACATGTGTCGGAGTAAGCATGAGGGGGGAATGGGCTTCCGCCGGTTTGAGCATTTCAATCAAGCTCTCTTAGCCAAGATTGGCTGGCGTATATTGGAGGAGCCCAGTCTCTTTTAGCCCAAGTCTATAAGGGTAAGTACTTCCCATTTGAGCACTTCCTCAATGCCAAGGCTAGGTCGCGCCCCTCTTGGGGCTGGCAAAGCATCTTGTATGGGCGGAATTTGTTGGAAATGGGCCTTAGATGGCATATTGGAAATGGGCAATCGGCGTCTCTGCTTCGGTCCCCATGGATTCCTTAGCTTCAGCTTGATCCTCAGCGATATAATCCGATGGTTTTACCGGAGGGGGGTGATCCTGTGGTGGCCGATGTAATTTGTCAGGGGGAGGGGTGTTGGTGTGATCTCAAACTCAGTCAGTGGTTTGATCCACCTACTTGCCGTATTATAAAAACTATTCCCCTCCCCGGGCAGAATCTTGAGGATAAACTGATTTGGCACAATACTCGGGATGAGGTGTTTTCGGTCAAGTCAGCCTACCATCTGGCCGTCTCCCTTGATAGGAGAAAGAGGCGGTGGAAGGCGTCGGCGAGTTGGATTCGTTTGTGGGAGGCGAATATTCCCCGAAGCTAAAGGTCTTTGTTTGGCAAATTTTGAATCGAATCCTCCCCACCACTGAGGCCCTTATAGATCATAAGGTCCCTATCCTTCCTCGTTGTCCTGTTTGTTGGTGTGGCCCGGAAACCATGGAGCAACTGTTTCTGGATTGTCCTGTTGTGCGTACGCTTTGGGGTTATGCGGGGCTCCAATACTTAGGGGAGGGGTTGCCTCGGCATACTTTCCCCCTGTTTCTTAAGCGTTTGCTAGCCTTAATTCAGCAGCCGACGCTCCTCATGGCAGTTGTCTCGGTCCTTTGGCGCATCTGGAGGTCTAGAAATTGGGTGTTGTTTGAAGGAAAGCAGTTTGGATTCCCCGCTTTGTTGAGGCATTTTTTCCAGCAGTATGAGGAATGGGTGGAGCTGCCGGCGGATGCGCCCCCCAGGCCTTCCCCCCCCCCCCCCCCCCCCCCCCCCCCCCCCCCCGATGAGCGCTCCACCAGGTGTGCTGGGCCAGGCTGCTGGGGTTGTTTGTCTGTGGGATGGGGCTACCAGGAAGGGATCACATTTAGCAGGTGGTATGGTTCTTCGGTCTCCGTCTGGGGGTGTGCTTATGGCTAAAGGGATCCAGTTCCCGGGGATTGATGACCCAACCGTGGTGGAGCTGCTTGTGCTCCGGGAGGCTATCACGTGGTGTTTAGGCCAGGGCTTCACGGGGATGAGGTTTGAAGGGGATGCCAAGGTCATTATTGATAAAATCAACAGTAAGGATGCTAGTGATAGCCGGATGCGTGCTGTTTTGGAAGAAGTTTTACAATATTTTTGTAGCAACCCTGGGTTTAGTGTGCGATTTGTAGGTCGGCGTAGTAATAGGGTAGCCCATTTGGTGGCTAGAAAAGCCCTCTCTTTGTACCCGACTACGAGTCGTTTCTTTGATTTTCAGGCCTGGCTGGGGTCCAGGATGTAACTATCTATGTTTTGGTATCAATATATGATTATCTTTTGTAAAAAAAAAAAAAATACCTTAACACTTTCTTCCTTCTTCTACTGTGGATCCGAGACAAAAAAATTCCAAAATTTGGCACCAAATTGTTTACTTTTCCACCCGGTACTGTGGGTAGTCTCCCTGAAAATTTTGATAAGGAGCCTGCAAAAATCGATTCTCTACAACAGAACACTATCATGATACCTTTAGTTTAGAAGCCTGTTGGTATGATAATTAAAATCACACATCACATTTAAAAGCTAGCTAATGTTTCTTTCCTAGTCGATCTTTGAATGAACTCCAAATCTGCTATGCCCTTATAAGGCCCACAAATGAGCCAAATTGTACACGAATAGTTTGGCGTTCTATTTAAGAAAATCTCGTTTGACATTCGACTTGTATGTTAACAAATTCAGTTTAAATTAAGTATTGTTCAGCTTACAAGACTCACGAGCCAACAAGAGGTGACTTGTTAAGGTCAACTCATCATGAGCTAGCTTGTTTTAACTTTTAAGCTATAGGATGGCTTGACAATTTGGCTAGCAAGCCATTTGCCTATCGACTTTTGATCAAATCATTTTATCATTTAATAATTAACTTATTGATAATTCATAAATTTATTAGATTTTATATCTAGTCACATGTCTAAGATTTGAAATATATGAGTAAATATGTCTCGTTTATAATTTAAAATGGACATTATGTATAGTAGATTATTTAGATACTAATTATTATAAAATCATATGATAATCAACAGTTAAAACTTATGAGTTTAATAATCTGTTACCTAAACTCCAACCGATCTTACGAGTTGATTGATAAGTTGTCGAGTAGACATGAGTTGAGCTCAAGTTCAAAACTATGCTCCACAGTGCTCATGTTGCAGCTGAATCTTTCTTTCCCAAGATCCTTGGTTATTGGGGCAAAAACCCTAGGCTCATTAAGCGCTGAAGCCCGAAGATCCAACCAACTTATCCTGATAGGAAACCGGGGCAGGATTGGCTTTGGTTTTGGACCATTAAACAATGTGAAGCCCAATATAACCAAATGGCATTGATCATGCCCAAAATCTGGCCCTCCGCAATCCTAGTCGTCACTGCGGCATGCAACATTCCCGCCCCCGGGGCAAAATGATGGCTGAAACAAGATTCCCGCCCGCCACTCAAAGTTGCTGCGAAATGCTCTTCAATCTTCTTTCACAGGTAATACCCACTTCCAATTTCTCCATCCTTTTCCTCCTTCTTCCCATTTCTCTCTCAACGTTCAATTAATTTGCTTTACCAATTTCCGCCGCAGTCTGTATTTACTTGTCAAAGACTAAACGGGTATCGCTTAAATGCACTCTGATGAGCAGCTATCGACTTTGCTTAGTAGAGACATAACAGCTAGCTTGAACGTTTTCGCGTCACCTTTTGGTGATTCTTGCATTATTCTTTGGTCTAGATTTTTCGATTGTGAGAAAACTTTACCTAAGATTCTCCTCTATGTTTCTGTCGAAGGTTCAATCAGTATAGTCCAGTTCATGTTGTTAAGGTGACGAGACTTAGGGAAAATTGAAATCTCGCACCATAACATTATAGCTCTCTTTTGGCAGAAGATAGGATTCCCGCAAAGGACTATCTGTGAGTCTGATACTTAGAATGCATGGATATGTTCTGCGAGAATTGGGAAAGATACATTAAGAGGCACCAATGTCAATTCTCCATTAGCAAAAGTTTACATGCATTGTGGGACCATCATGTGTAATTGTTATTGTCAATGGTGTTAGATAATCATTTCACCTCGTAAGATAATATTGCTTGATATTTGCTAACATGATTGTTGCTTTTATTGTGAACAGCAAAACATGGATTAGTTCTTATTTTCACCCCTCGTTTTCCAATTACCTTTAGATGGAAGTAAGTTACTTTTGTGGACAGTTAGAAATCTTGGTTAGATTGTTTTCAGTATAATCTTGAGCAATTTTGTCTTAAGTGAATCAATAACTTCTATTGGTGGATAGATAATGCTGAATAGTAGCACAAGTTGTTGTGGTCCATATAAGGAGGAGAGATTTTGGATACAGAAGTGTGGACGCCAGCTTCCGCCGAAAATAAAATGTTGAAAAAATTCTCCATTCTAGAGTCCCATCCATCTCTAGGGCTCAGAGAAGAGAAACCCGATTTTGACATGGAACATAAAACTTTGAACAATTCTCTGTGAATCTAAAGTTGTTCCCCTTCTTTCTTCTTTCTGTCCTTGTTAAAGTGTTCCCTACTTACTTTAATTTATGTTTATTGACTCAGTTTTAGTTTCCTTTGCGCAAAGATGAAAGCTTTTTTTTTCCTGAAGTCGTTGACATGTTGCTAATATACATCTGTTTGAGAATGCAATGTGTATTTGTCCATATTTATGTTTTGTAGTTTCATACATAATATAATTTGCTTTGTGCGTAAGGCATATGGTTGGAACTGGAAGCTACAAAAGCTTTTAAGTAGGAGAGGGTAGTTGTTGCCTACCATACTGTGTTCACATCTCAATGAACTCAGCATTATGCCTCCAATAGGCAAGATACATGCCCTTCTAAAACAATGATCAAACTGACCTTATTTGGTGTCTAGAGAGTTCCATTCAATACATAAATTAGTTGCATGAGATTCCACCACTACCATGGGGTTGGAGTTGTTTTGGGACTATTCCGCAATACTGTAGAGCTAGCTTGTTACCTACTTGAGATTTGGTTAGGAATGAATCGGATCGTTAAGTTTAGATTCTCAAATTCTATACTTTTTGGTGCATCAATCTATGGATCCCCGAAAGTTATTGTGTCCCAACCCTGAATTGCCCTCATCATATCTTATAATTACAAAATCGCCCTTCATCATTTAACGGTTTAGAGAAAGGCTTGCATGTTTAGCTTAAGTCCAATGGGAAGGGAAAATGGGTTATTTATGTTGGTTAGCTGGGAGATTCTTAGGCTGGTGAAGGAAGAGGTAGCTTGTGGAGATTGAATGAGCTTTAATTAAGGTTAATAGATAGATAGATAGATAGGTCACAGTCAACATCTTTCATACTGCATCTGCAACTGTTGGTGATTGTGGGAGAAGAGGGGCCATGTGAGCATTGACATTTCAAGGGACCTGTTGGGCTCATAGTTGAGCGGTACTGGATCCTAAGCCCAGTAAGAATGGTAAGTCAAGCCTAATAGGGGATCCAAAAGGGAGACGCCTGTGGGAAAGGACACGACAGGCGGTCGCTAGTGACGTGACAGGTATAGACCGCCTGACATAAAGCAATGATTGTGATGGGGGAAGGGTATCTCCTAAAGATAATCATCTCGAAACAAGCAGGACTGAACATTAATTGCCCGTCGTAGGCGGGCCAGGTAAAGTACCACATAACTGGGACACCTACGACGTGCATTTAATGACCTAAGCTCTACTGAACAGAGTATACATACCCTCACACCAGCATTGATGGCAACTCATCTACTTCCTATCTCTCTAAATACAAACATATATTCTTACTTCTCTCTTTGACTTAAGCATCAGAGAATGTCCAGGGCAGCCGCCCACGGATCCTTATTTTGCATAGGTCAGGAGTGCACCCATCATCAACAACAGACGTCTCTCTAGCTCCTAATCAAACCGCCTAGAACATTCTAGGCTAAAATAGGACCCATTTGCATAAAATATTTCTTTTCTAGAGGGTTAGATTGGTATTTGTTGATAAGAAGAGAAAAGCAAATTGCTTTGAATGTGAGTTTTTTAGCTTAAATTATATTGCAGAAGTCCTTGTTGCAGATATACCAAGCAACCCCTTCCTCTTAGGAACTTGAATTCGTCCAAGCAAATTGCATCCGACAACTGGGGTTTGTCTAGGTAAATAGTCAAATATTACACGTTGTGCATAGTAATTGTATTAGTCTGGTAGTATCCGAAACATTGTGAATCTATATTAGTCGACTGAGTTGCATTAGAATGCTCATAATTCATGTATGTTCTTTACTGCTTTAAAGGTGGTAACTTTACAGTCCGAGTTGCCTCCTTTGTGATGTAAGGGTTTGGGGTGGGTTGAAGTTTAGGATTAGACTTCTTTGTTTTCTGGGATCTAAGGATGGGATGGGAAAGAAATAGAGATTTTGGAATTGATAGAACAAAGGGAAACGAATTAGTGATTGACCTTAAAAGGTTGTTCCTTTTTTTTTTTTTATCTCTCTTTGCTTCTTTCTCATTCTTATTTTGGTGGTGTTACGTGTGTGTGCGTGTAGTCGACTTTGAGGGGGCTGCTCACGTGATTGACAAATCCCATGAGTGGGTTTCACAAGTCAGCAATCCACAACCCAACCCGAACCAATCCTTTTGGCTTTCCCTTTCCCTTTCTCTCTCTACCTCAACTTTTCTTTTTGGGTACATGATATCTATCATCCCTATATTATGTTATTATAACAAACAAGTTCATGTATGTTTATCTATTTCTGGTTCACGTATTGAGTTTATGGAAACATGTTTAGCAAGCACGTCCTTATAACTCGCATGTCACATATGCTCGAAATTGTTATCTTGCAAGTAAATTTAACCCGCAAGTATCTTGTTTGGCTTTCAGCGGTGAATTCGTTATTTGACATTTAATGGACCCAATTGAAGGGAGGGTAAGGTGGGAAGAGGATGTTACAAATGTGGTTCTAAGCATTGGATCAGATATGTCACAAATGTCCCTCGGGTTGGGGTGTGTTCGCTTTTGGGAGTCGTCATCGATCTTACTTGGAGTGGATCGAACACTATTCGGTTGGTTGTAACCATAGGGTCAGAACCGAGACTCGGTATGCGATTTAGAGATCTGGGTTCGGGTGTACGGTTAGGTGTGGGGACGTTAAGCAACATCCCACAACGCCCTAAATCGGTACTACTTAAGTTGATAAGTTTATACGAGTTGGGTGTTTTAATAATTATTGGTATCTTTTAGGGTCCCACTAGAGCGCCAGAGAGTTTTATTGTATTAATCTATGATTTTGATTATACGTCCATTGACGTTTGTTTAAAAGATAAAATTTTCTTAGTTAGATAGACTCGAACCTTATCGGTTGCCTACGTACCAATGTTGTCAAAACCAGACCGGACATCAATCCGAATTAGTGAGAGGTTAATGATTTATCGACTAATCATAATTAACCGGTATGACAAACCGGTCATAAAATCGGTGACATGGCTACTGATATCTAGCAACCTAACCAGCGGTGCTCGAAAGGTGTGGAGTGCTTATCTTCACTTTCCAAGAAAGAAAAGCGGAAACAAATTCCCCAAATAACCCAAATACATTAATTGAAAGTTTAATTGGTTAAACACACTTGTATATCCAAAACTTTCACGATTGTGCCAATAATATCCAAATTTCCTGAAATATCACTTATATCCAATTCCTTCACATTCTTTAACGGTGTTTTTGGATATATAAGTGTATTTGACCAAAAATATATTGGAAAATGGATAGATTTGGCAAAGAACAACATTAAAACATGGATATAAGTGGTATTTCGAGAAATTTGGATATTATTGGTACAACCGTGGAAGTTTTGGATATACAAGTGTATTAAACCAGTTTAATTTTTGAGTGACATTAATTGAAAGTTAAAACGTTAAAAGGGGTGGTAGGTGGTTGTCAAACTTTAATTATTTAGAAATAATCAAAATGGAGCCTCTTTCGTGAATTTCAAGCTCTCATTAAAGTAGACACCACATTGATTTGGTAGGTTTTTATTATTTATAATTTATATTTAAAATGTTAAAAGCTTAGGACGGATGAATTAGTTCTAAACCGCCTGTTCGGGTGCAACGATTTTGCCGGTTCACCGGTTGAACTAGATGCAACCCGACCGAGCAATTTTCTTGCCGTTTCAAGCCTTCTGGGACCGAATTGTTGCTCGGCTCCGGTTGTAATAACACTGCTACGTACCGTATCACGAGATCAAAGTCCATGTAGTTCGTTGGACAATTTTTGTAGTTTTAATTATGAACTTTTACCACATTCCACTGAAAGTGATTCTCTTTTTAAAAATTTTAATAATAGTTTAATTGATTATTATGGGGCTATGAAGAAAACTTCAGAATTTTAATTATAAATAAATTTTTTAACGTATTAGAAATAATGCAATTAACCCAACTTGGAGATTCTTTCGCGTATATAATTTTATATTAAGAATGCTTTAAGAAAATAGAGTAAAATAATAGAACATATCTACATAGCACGCAATTTAACTATGGACCAACTAGTCTTGTTGTTGTGTCGAATATGATTTGGGGTCCTAGGTGTCTGGTTCGTCACCTAGACGACTAGACCCACCTTCATTTTCTTGCATTTTTTCAGACGCTAGAGGGGTGTAAAATGCACGGAAATGCGATGGTGGGAGTGGTAAATATAATAAAACCCTACGGGTATTTTAGTCTTCTATGCCTAAAGATTATATATACCGCCAAAATGAACCCTAGATCGGCCGCTACCTCTCTCTCACTCGCCCCTTGCCTCTCTCTCTCTTTCTCTCGTTATCCCTTCTTCTTCTTTCACCTCTCCCTCTTCTCTCTGCCTCCTCTGACATGAGAAGAAAGAAAAAGAAACCTATCCCTCTGAAACGGTAACAAAAACCACAAAACAAAACCCCTCTTCCCCGCCTTGATTCTAGAAACGACGAGAATAAAAACGAAAGGACATGCAGCGACGGCGGTGACGATAACGACGGTGACTAGGAGGGAATTCAAAAATTCGTTTTCTTTGTTTGCATGTGGGATTTTGTTTGATTTTCTTAAAGATATGGATTTTTTATATTATTTCTGGGACCGAACCAGTCTGTAGACTTGGGCTTGAGGCTGACCTGGGATCGAATTGTGGGCCTGAACTTTGGCTTGACATATTTTGGAGTTGGGCCGATTCCCTGATTCTCTTCCTTTTTTTTCCTGATCTCTTGGTGGTTTGGGCTAAATTGATAGCTAGAAACTTACCCAAATAAAGCTAGAATCTACACCTTTTATAAAAGCTGGAAGCCAAAAACCCAAACACCATTTCAAATTTCCGACGCTCAGAGCGTTTTGCGGGAGGGTAAATTTGGCAATCGGAAATTTTGGCTAAGTGAGAAGAAACCGGGCTGCCTTGCCCTTTTCCTTCACTGGGCTTATGTGATTTCCATGGCCCAAAAGATTGCAGAGCACATCCAGAGCCGGTAGAGTATCGTTAGAGAAGAGGGTCGGCTGTGTTAATCGGAGTTCTCGATTGCAGAGCACATCCCTTTTCCTTCTGCTGCTTCGTTCTTGCGTGGTCTGGGCACCGAGTTTCCAGAGATTTTTGTTTTATCATGCATTGCTTACTCATAGCTTGATGAAAACTGCTGCTGCATCTCTCCCTGCCGGCCGAATTTTTCACATCCCAGGTGGAGAGATTAATGAATCGGCATGCCTCTGTAAGTTATCTTCATTAGGTTACCCTCTTTTTAATTATGGCGATGGCTGCCCCTCTTTATAATTTTCCTATGGTTGCCTTGAATGTTGGTGATTGTGTAGCCACCGCTCCAAGAAAACAGCAGCAACATACCCGCTTCAGATGTATGTGTCCAATCTATCTCATGCACTTGGTAATTGGATACATTTATAGTAATTGATGTGTTTTGTATTTTTGACCATTAATAGTAATGGGAAGTTTGGTTCCAATCTACCCCAGGTTCAAATTTTGTTGGCCTAACACAAAACTACCTGAGAAAATTGATGGTCAATGTCGAATTGGCATATTGGCTATAATTAGAGTTATAACTGGAATTGTCGAATTGGCATGCTATAACTGTTGCTGCCCTATTTTAATATGACTGTTATGGAATTTCATCATGGTGAGTCAAGTACTCAACCTTTACGCATACAGGCTGATGCATCTCTTGAAGGAGGTATTTGTGAATTAGTAATCAGTACTATTATCAGTTAGAATGTTTTTAAATGGGGAGTGCTCAGTATATTGTATTTGTTGAATTTGTAGGTGAACAGAATTGCCAGCCACCACGTTTTGCTGCCTCTGGCCAACCACAACAGAATAGACCATATGCCCCATGTGTGTTTGTGTATATTTAACTGTAGTGTATTTGAATTTGGGAGCCTTATTATGCGTTTTCCTAATCTGGTTGTAATGCAGGGAAAGGGAGAGCCATCTTTTATCATCTAGAAGACACTTATCAAAGGTTTGTCATGTCCGTAGAAGATCAAGAAGTTTATGACAAAGGTACATATCCAATTACTTTGTGAGGATACATTGATCTGATTTGTGCTTATAGTTTTAATTTGTATGTGGGTGTGTAGTAAACAAACGGTTGCACTACGAACTCATGTCCATTTCCAGAAAGTTGTCCCAAACTACTCGACGAAGAAGGCAGCTTATTCTTCAAGATAAGAGAAGTAGGAGGCGATCTGTTGTTGAAGGTAAATGTAGCCATTTGTAAAAGTGTTTATCTTTGTTTCTCTTTTAAGATAGTTTGTACTTATTTATATGCTCAGTATAGTCGGTTTGGTAATTTTTCAGGTTCTACGGGTGTTGAAATTGAGTTTTCCGCGCTTTTGGGCAAACGTTGTAGACTAATGCGCCACATTCACTTGCATAGAAAACGTTTGGGTAGAACCTACTTTCATACTCAAAGAAAGCTATGTATGCTGTATTTAGGAGGGGAGCTTTTTATAATTGTTGTGATGGAATTGTATATATGTATCTATACTCCAAATTTTATCTAGATGTATATATTAGTTAGGCTACTATGTATTTGCATGACTTTGATACTTGTATTGTAATTTTGTATCTATGTATAGTTACTCATCTGTATGAGTTTGTGTCGCAAAATCCAAATTTTTAGTTCCTAATCTGTATGAGTTTGTGTTGCAGAATCCAAATTTTTAGTTCCTCATATGTATGAGTTTGCATTGTGATGGAGTTTTTCCCCCTCTCCCAGCGAAACTTGATGCATTTAATTAGAATTCTTTTTATTCGTAGGGGTTATTCAAGTGGCATTGGTAAAGCATGGAAGTAGCATATTTTATTACTAATTATTATTTTTATGATATATTGTGATGGGTTTTTCCCCCCTCTCCCAGTGAAACCTGATGCATTTAGTTACAATTCTTTTTATTCGTAGGGGTTATTCATATGGCATTGGTAAAGCATGGAACTAGCATATTTTATTACTAATTATTATTTTATTGGTATGGTCTAATTTCTGAATATTAATCTATGTATTTTTGCGCTTATAGTTATCCCTTTTTTATAATTTATTATAGGTATCCCTGTTGTTGAATATTTTGATATTGGTCCGCCATCATGTACGTGTCAGCATTGTGGAGCTCTCATGCGGCGATTGGAGAGCACTTCATCTACAAGAAATTATTCCACGCCTTCATTTTCATTGTGTTGTAGAAATGGGATGGTCAAACTCCCTGTTCGTAAGCATCCTCCTCAATTCCTGAAAATGTTACTTGAAGGTGATACCCCAGAAGCGCGTCATTTCCGTACTAATAGTCGAGGATATAATGGAGTGTTTTGTTTCATATCTATCGGTGGTAAAGTCAACCAGTCCATTAATGACGGCCGCGGTGTTTATGTTTACTCAATTGGTTGTCAAATTTATCATCGAATTGGAAGTTTGGTTCCTCCTGAAGGGATGAGTCCAAAATTTGCACAGTTGTATATTCACGATTCAGACAACGAGGTACAAAATCGATTGAGCTTCTACTCATCTGATCCTGAGAAGAATCCATTATGTGCTTCTATTGTTGAAGGTTTGCAAGAAATGTTTGATACGCATAATATTTTGGTTCGTCATTTTCGGTCTACAAGAGACAGAATATTTGAGGATGGTGTGGAGGAGCTTCGGTTGAAGTTATTGGCAAAACGTGAAATCAATAGTAGGGAATATGATTTACCTTCGGCAGGTGAGATAGCAACATTGATTGTTGATGAGACAGGAGAAGAAACTTTTTCACCGGATATTATTGTTCAACATCGAAGTACTGAAATGGAGAGAATTAGTCCATATCATCCCAGTCTAATGGCGTTACAATATCCTGTTTTGTTCTCGTATGGAGAGGACGGATGGCATCCCGGTATTTTCTATTCAGCAACTACAGATTTGGCTGGTGCAGGAGAGAGAATGATAACTCAATGTGATTACTATTGTTATCGACTTCAGACTAGGCTTGCTGAGTCAAATTCTTTGTTCCTTGCTGGAAAGTTATTTCAACAATATGTTGTTAATGCTTATGCTCTTATAGAGGCTGAACGCTTAGATTGGATGAGAAACAATCAATTCTTATTTGCGAGGACATCATTACCAAGGGTTGTTAAATTCTTATTTGCGTGGTGATAATGATCTGAAATTGTTTGGTAAGCCTGTGATTTTGGTTGCAACTCATACAGGTAGTCCAAGATACAAGTATGAAAATTTTCAGGATGCTATGGCGATTTGCAAATGGTTAGGATATCCAGATTTGTTTATTACATTCACCTGCAACTCCAGTTGGCCTGAGATACAAAATATGGTTGATATTATTTGAGAATTTTCTGGAAAAGATCCAAACCGTGCTGATATTATAGCAAGGGTATTCAAGATGAAGGTCGATGAGTTTATGCTGGAGATCAGGAAGAAGGAAATATTCGGCAAGATGACTGCATGTATGTATATAAATTATCTCCAAACTTTTTTATTTAAAATTTTTATATGGCTAATTACTGTTTATAAAACTTGGTATTCTATGCTTATTGATTATTCACAGATGTAAAAGCAATTGAATGGCAAAAGCGTGGTCTCCCTCATGCACATACATTGTTATTCCTTGCCCAGGAAAATAAGTTTCATGGATCTTCTGATATTGATACAATATTTTCTGCTGAAATACCTGATCCTGAACTTTATGCTATTGTTACAACATCTATGATGCATGGACCTTGTGGCGCACTGAATCCAAATAATTCATGCATGAAGAATGGGCGTTGTAGCAAGCATTTTCCAAAGGATTTTTGTACGCGGACTACCATTGATGAAAATGGATTCCCTAAGTATCGGCGAAAAGATAATGGTAGGACATTTAACAGCGGAGGTGTTGATCTTGATAATCGGTGGTTTGTACCTTATAATCGCTATATGTTATTGAGATTTGGTGCTCACATAAACTTTGATATTTGTAACAAAACAAGGTATGTTTAAAATATGTTGCCTTCTCTTACTATTATTAATTTAGAGTTCAATGCAATTTTAAATTAGAAAGCAATATGTTTGATAATTTAAGAATGTACACCCGTAGGTTTGCTTCTTATGATGTAACCATGATATTCTTGAATATTTAAAAAGCAATCAATTGTTCATTCAATAAAATTTAACCATTCTTAAAATCATATAAAATGATTTTTATGTGTAATGTAATCTATTAAATTTTTTCCTTTGCAGAGCTGTAAAATATTTGTTCAAGTATATAAACAAACATGAGGATCATGCAATGGCCACACTTGCAGCTCAATAAGCAACATCGTCAGAGATGAATAGTGGGTCTTCTAAGAAGGCGTTACAAATTGATGAGATTAAAGCATTTATGGATGCTCGATATATCACATCAGGTGAGGCAAGTTGGAGAATATTTAGGTTTGATATCTATAATCAGTCTCCACCAGTGCTTCGTATGTCATTTCATTTGCCTGGTGAGAATATAGTGTATTCAAATGTAAACTCCTCTGTGGAGGATGTTCTTGAATCGGATCATGCTAATACGTCAATGCTTTTGGCATGGATGGAGCTTAATGTTAAGTCAAGGGCCGCTCGAAAATACACGTTTGTTGAGATGCCGCAGTATTATGTCTGGGAGAAGAAACGCAAGAAGTGGCAGAAACGTAAAAAAGGAATGTGTATTGCTCGATTATATTATTGTTATCCATCAGCGAAAGAGAGGTATTACTTGCGTATATTACTGCATGTTGTTCGGGGATGTTGTACATATGAGGATATCAGAACTGTGAACGGGGTAATATATGAATCATTTCAGAAAGCATGTTATGCAAGAGGCCTTCTAGCTGCAGATTCAGAATGGAACGATTGTCTACAAGAAGTATCTTTTTGGGCATCTAGTTTTAAACTACGTAAACTTTTTGTCACAATTCTTATTCATTGTGAAGTGGCAAATGTGGAAGCTTTTTGGCTCAAGAATTGGAAGATACTTAGTGATGATATATTGCACTCAAGACGTACTCACCTTAACATGCCTGACTTGACTTTGACAGAAGATGCCATCCAGGAATTTTGTTTGCTTCAAATAAATGATTTGTTGCAGAAGCATTCTAAATCATTATCTGATTTTCCTGGATTGCCGATTCCTAATGAATGTATGGAGGCTGAATGTAGCAATAGGATGATTGCTGCTGAGTTGAATTATATGTGTGATAACGGAAACAATGTATCTGATGAGGTAGTTTCGAATTTGAATGCAGATCAACGCAAGGCTTTTTATCAGATTTTAGAATCTGTTCTTACAGATAAAGGAAGTTGTTTTTTTGTTGATGGCTATGGTGGTACAGGCAAAACATTCTTGTGGCGAGCTATTTGTGTACATTTGAGATTGCAAAAGAAGATTGTGTTATGTGTTGCATCATCAGGAATTGCAGCGTTGTTAATGGTTGGGGGAAGGACAGCACACTCAAGATTTCAGATCCCAATAGAATGTGATTCGAAGTCAGGTTGCAACATTGATCAAGGTAGCGAGCTTGCAGAACTTATCCAACAGCCTTCTCTTATTATTTGGGATGAAGCACCCATGGCACATAAACACAGTATAGAGGCATTGGATAGGACCTTGAGGGATATTCTTCGTGTCAAGTATGCTGATTCAGAGAACAAAGTTTTTGGAGGTATTACCATGGTCTTTGGAAGTGATATTAGGCAAACATTGCCTATCATTGTCATAGGTACACGAACTGCTACAGTCAATGCATCCATAAAAAAGGTCTTATTTGTGGCAGTTCATGACAGTGTTAAAATTGACCCAAAATATGAGATTATCCCAACGTATTGGAGAACCCAGTGCTTGCTCGGAAATCTTAAACTTTAGCAATTGGCTTTTGGAGATTGGTGATGGTAGGCAAAGTAATATTTTTGGTGAATCGATTGTAGCAATACCACCTTACATAAGTGTACGTCGCAACTCATATCCTATTTCGGACATTGTTGCTGCAATTTATCCCGAATTGATGAGCAGACACAAGGATTCGACATATTTGGTGGAGCGTGCTATCTTAGCACCTCACCATGACACTGTTTCTACGATTAATAATTATGTGTCGAGAAAATTTCCGGAGAAGAAGTATCGTATTTCAGTTCTGACTCAATTGAGATTGATGCTAAGAATGAACATGTCATGGAGGGTGATTATTCTATTGAATTTCTTAACTCTTTACAGATTGGAAATTTTCGTGAACATGAATTGAAGTTGAAGATTGGTTGCCTTATTATTCTTCTCGGGAATATGGATCAGAGTACCGGTTTGTGTAACGGAACTCGGATGATTGTAAAGAGATTGGGCCAATGGTTTCTTGAAGTGGAAATACTGGCTGGTACTCATATTGGGGACACGATTTTTCTGCCACGTCTATCTTTATCAACTCACTACAAGAGTTTGAATTTCACGTTGGTTCGTAGGCAATATCCGATTGCATTGTCATATGCAATGACCATCAACAAGAGTCAGGGACAAACATTGAAATATGTTGGGTTATGCCTGCAAAAACAAGTATTTTCATATGGACAGTTGTATGTTGC